ATTCAATCGGTTTTCCGGTTTAAGAGCAGTCGATTTAGTCCTAAGACTTTGTTCTTTGTTTTTCCGTAGTTTGTAGTAGGTTGGGTAAAAAATAATAACTAACCAACAAATGCAATACGTTTGAATAATTTTATAGGTACATAATGTTTCCTGACGTTCCTGTAACAAAACAACTCGGTGGTAAACTCACCATCGAGTGAGTTTCCTAGCGAGTTTTGAGCTCACTCGAAAACTTCTAGATTTAAGATAGCGCACTCACACAGCCCAAGGGTGACAACGAGCGTGTTCAATTGTAGCTACAAACGAATTCATTTCACAAAACTCATCTTGCAGACGTCGTGTGACGACATGACACAGACAATACTTTCAAATTTGGAAGTGGCACATTTTTCGATAATTTGAGGATTGCAAATTGTTTAATTAGATATTCTACCAAACGCCCAAAGCCCCTATATGAGGAAGGTAGCCTCTAAACGAATATGCATAACTCATATCCTTATAAATATATATAAACCAATATATCATTTATATATTATACTTTTTCAGTGCTACTTTTATTACTGTCACGTAATTAAGTTCTCATTTCATTCCATGTACAAATATGTACATCTCAATACCAAATAATACTATAATATTCTACCACATTCACACAACGCCATCCAGTCCCAAACTAAACAGAGCTTGTACTATGGCTACTAGACAACTGATATAAATACATATATACTTCTTTTTTCTGTAAATACATACTTATCACCACAAATCAAATCACACCCATCGAACATTAAATGTTCATGCACACAAATGTTTAACTTCAGCGGGAATTGAACCTTTGGAATAGCAGTCCGTTACACAAACCACTACGCCACCTGGTCGTCGGATGTTACCCATTTCAAAAGAGTCCGTCAAATTGGACCAATTCCTTGTAAATATTTTTAAATAAAGTATGATCACAATTTAATGAGAAATACCATCGCTTCCAGTCAGTCAGTATCAACGCGAGCAGCGCCGGCGACGCGTGCCCGGAAGCGTCACGGCCGCGTGAAGACCGGAAATGGGCAGGATGACCGGATCCTATCTCCGCTCGGCTCCTGCCTACCTGCCGGCCATGTTGTGACGTCACCTCGCCCCGACACACAGCCCACTCTATGTCATCAGAATGGTTAGATTTTGGAATTGTTCTGTCACTCAAAATCGACAATTTCCTGAAACTTTTTTCATTTTAAATGGTCAATATAACAGAATTCTATATCAATAACACTTTCTATTGTAAATTGATGATCATTGTAATGTGTAATATAATACTAACTCTTTACTTCGCCAGTAAAATACCTATTATATAGAAATGTACAAACTTTACTAAATACAAGTACCCGTCATAACAGGAAACAGCGTTAAAAGGTTATGTACGACTCATCATGTTAAAAAAATTAAAACCAGGCAATTTTGCACTTGAAAAATATTAAAATGGGATGCAACAAGTAGGTTATAATAATTATTGTTGATAGGTTGGCAAAACCTCTTTTGAATATAAAACTAAGTTATGTCTTCCGTTCGAGATCGAGAGAGAAGAAGACTGTCTAATAGCGGAAATGATGTTAACTTTATATATTATATTACTTGTGTGACCGGGCTGTTAGCCTGTCATTTGTACATTGGACAGTTAAACAAGTCGCCAAAATAAGGCGTTATAAATTGTTACACATTTGTGAACTGTAGGTACTCTCAATAAAAATGTCGAAATACGCCTTAAGTGGGCGGATCTTCGCTAAAACCCAACACAGTAGCAAACCAGAGTTTGCCACAGAACATCTACCGGTTATCATTGCGAGAGCATATAATTGTTGGCAATTTCGCGTCTCCATTCAAGCTGTGAATAGCAACCATTAGGCAGAACCCTCTATGCGCCCTCCTCAGCTAATAAGTGCATTTTCCTTTATAGGACTCTTTAGTGCCACAGTTAAAATCTCTACTTTTTAAAATGGTTGCCAACGCAGTTTTACGTTTAGCTGAACATTTAAATGATTACTAATTGCCGTTATTATGTAATTTATTTAATTAATAAATGTTGCAGTAACTATTTTTAAATTTAGCGTACAATATAATTTTACGAAAATGCTCTTCATTAGAAAGATTTATCTAATTTTTGTTCCTCACACTGACTAAAATTCTACACGAGTTACCATCGAGATGGTCTCTATCGATCAAACCCTGTTAGAGAGAAAACTCATAGACGACTAATAGCTACACCATATCATGTAAATGAGTTTATATGATAAATTTTCCTCGTGACTAATATGACTTTTGTTTTTTTAAATAAGCTTGTTGTTGTTAATGTACGATTACGTCGTCAATTATTGTTTTATTATTACTCTGGCGTTAAACTTGTCTCTGATAATAGTGGCAGCGTTACCGCCCAGTCTGCGGCTGCCAAGCTTTTCTCACTCGAATACCAGATGACGTTTAAATATATATCTGGTAAAACGTAAGACATAGCCAATTACTGTAATAACTAAGTACTTTGGGTTATACAATGAGCTCATATTTAATAATCATTAACCTCATGAAAATAGCAATTTAAACAAATAATGTTGATTTTAATTCAATGCGCTGCGTTTAGTTTGTTTTGTTTTACAAAAAATTTAACGTTAGGTTCCACTAATAGTGGTAATATGGGATCTATGTTCTTATATAAAAAGTAGGTAGTACGAGACCAAACGGTGGTGGAAGCCATTAAAATTTAATATAAATTAAAAAGAAAACTTATTGAATAACCTAAAACCCCAAGGTCCTTAATTAAACTGTGATATAGCGACAATTATGGTCACCCATTAAATATCCTGACTTATTAAGTTCAAGTTCTGTCGGATCAAATCTTGAACCGAAAAAAGTTTTGGGACTAATAAGTTATGTACTGCTAGTGTCGTATTAGCTAAGAATTCAGAATTGCACTTAATTAATCTAATTGCGAATTATTTCAATTATAGTTTACTACCAGTTTCTTTTTTAACTTTTTAAACGATAACACTAATAATTTGTTGATTTTATAGGTTAGTTTTTTAGACGAGAGAGAGGAGACGAGACTTGTAGTCAAGGCATTGCGGTAAGTGTTAATGTATAGATCTAGTGAGGTAAAAAGTTTATGTACTTAAGAAAATGCACTTTATAAAAAAGGATTCATAATTGAGACGATGCAGTGAGACAAAAATATACATTAACCACATACAGATAGGTACTGCGCATGGGTATGTCAAATATATTTTCGGCAGCAACAGTTGTTATACATCTATATGTCGTAGATTTTTTGGTCTTGGAGTTCGCCCTATTGATGAACCACATTATTAGTAGTGTACATTTATTTATACTCGTATATGTTTATTTCATATATTTTCTTACGTTGTGTGCCTGTTCATTTGGATTGTACACTCGATCGAAACGTCGGGCAATTAAAAGCATATTATGATACCTAAGCATATTAGCTAGTAAGTTATTAGTAATTAATACTACTTTCTCTCTCTAATTATTACCAGCATTTTTATATTGTCGCCCAGTGGTGATGGGTGGAGGTTGCTTTTATAAACGTAACACGTATGTAAGCATACCACAGTCAGTGAAGGCGACAGCTGAACTACACTAGGTACTCCTCCTGAGTACATTGAGTACGCTTGCTCGATAAATAACAGAATTAAATAGTAAATGATATCACCGTTTTTAACAGTGTTTAAAGGCAGTTGCTTGGCATAATAGTTGCATTCATAAAGAACTATTTTATAAGCTTGGAAACAGTGGACAATTCTACCATACCTACCCAACGTAATCCTCGATTTCTTTATCCTTTACGTCCTTCTGCTGCGTCTTAAAATAACTTACCTCGTTACCTTATAAAGACTCGAGTTACCTCATGGTATTAACAATCCACTATATTTAGCCATTCAAATAAAATTAACTCGTGTACCTAAGCAACGCTTAATTATGTCATAAATACGAGTATTTTCTTATAATGGATTTCATAAAATTCCTAACACGTAGTACGTAAATATAACCACCCACTAAGTGCTTCCGCAGATCGAAAGGGTTACGATGCGTGTTGCGGTGTCTTTTGCTCAACATGATTGGTGTAATTGCCAATTTGGAGTAGTCACAACACAATATGTGCCGCCGCTTTCAAACCCAACCTTATCCTTATTTCAATGAATTCTTGACAATGGTCCGGCCAGAGTAAGTCACGACTCAATATCCTGAGGGCACCCACCTGTGCACTACATGAAAATTCGGAAATATTTTGCTGCCACATTTTTTTATAATTTGGTGGCATTACTAAAGTAAGCGTGACGAGGGAACAAAAGCGGCTTATTTTGAAATACCCTGAATGAACCCATAGCGGGTAGGGAGCCTGTCATTTTTTAACAATTTCAAAAAAAGGAGAGGTTCTTAATTAAGTTGTATTTTTTTCTGTTGCTAAACACACCTAAGTAATAAATTTGACATATTTTGAAAATAATTTGGAATTTAAAACGACAATATTTTAACTAACATCTAACTAACTAACGTCTAAGGCGCAAAAGCATAGCAAACAAACACATATTCGAATTAATAGTAATAGTTTATACACACACAAATAATATAGTTAAAGATGTCTAAGATGTAGGTACGAATTTAGAAATATATATAAGTATATTATTTTATCAGCTGTCTGAAAACGATGATACAGGGTCAGTCTAGTTTGGGATCAAATAGCTGTGTGATAGCCACTGGTGGGTGGTATCCGAGGGGGCTTCCGCACAGAAAAAAAAAAAGGTGTGTCAAGTAACAAAAAAAAGTTCTATGAAAATGACAGTTTGAAGAGATCGTGTGGACGACCTTTTTAAAGACATAGATAGTGTTTCTGTTTCTATTACCAGAGAGTATTAAGGAGTTGAGATGTTCTTCAAAATACGCCAACACAATTCTATATTAATTCCTGAAGGATTATTAAAAGAAGTCGTTTAGAACAAGCATTTTATTTAAAGTAAAGTATCCCTATCATGTACATTAATAATCACATCTTGCGCATCTCTATCTCTCATTTGTGACTCTTCCAACTTGAGGATCTCACTTCTTACTATCACGATCAAATACCATTGCATACCTGCAACACAGTAACATAGGACATCAAATGATTATGGTGAATGATTTCAAAAGTATTATATTGTTTCCGTTTTTACAACACTTCATTGATGCTCGGTTATCTAACACTAAATATTTTTTTTCAATTCGAAGCAGTAGTTCCTGCGATTAGTGCGTTCAACCATACAAACAAACAAACTCTTCAGATTTAAAATATTAATGTAGATTTTTGCAGCTGTTGACTGTTTTTTCAAGTCTAAATAAAGATTTCGACTTTTTATCGTCTTACGGAATTTAAATATACTGGTCTAAGTACTGGTACTGAAAATGTAAGTTCACACACAGACCTTGCCTTAACTGCGAAAAGTGATTGTTTTATACTATCATGTAAGAGCACGTTCCTGCATTCCTGTGTTTTATGCCGTAATTCTTGATTCTAAAACCATAAACGCTTCAGCACATTTTTTTTTTCTTTATGTGAAGGAATGGCAAGATTTATTTCTAAACATTTAAATTAATTTTAAGGTGAACAGGTCAGCCAATATCCATAATTAAGCATCTTGAATCACAAGTATCTTTGCTTAATACTAAGATTTAATAACGAATTTGTCCAAACTAAAATCTAGGGCTCAAATAGCCGTAGCTTTTTGACTGCGTTGACTTTCTTCAAATTTTATAGGTGCCGCAATAAATTTTTTTAAAGCTTACTAGCAACCGTAATTACTAGTATTCCCGTTAACCCCTCCAGCTTAGCTAAATTGCTTGTGCTAGGATTGGGTTCACGTCGGTAGTGTACTGGTCAGGATTCGAACCCACGACCTCTTGATCGCAAGTCCAATGCCAAAATAAGAATTAATAATAAAATAAGAGTAAGTACTTTGTAATTCGATGTGATTTTACTTTGTGACACGTTCGCTTTCCTGAGTGAAAGGATCTGTACAGACTGACGGTCGTGCTACGAAGTGTTTCATTAAAGGTTTCTTTTTTATTTGAGGAACGGAACCCACAAATACAGGTCGTTATTCAGCAGTTACTAATAAGTCATTTAGTGGTTTGAACTACTAATATTTACTAGCGCGCACTCAGCTTAAGGAATAGGGTGTAACAAGTACCGCTTGTATCCGTGACTATCAATATTTGTAGACTTTAATGGTCGCAATGGTAGTATCCAATGTCATTTACTACCGTACAGTTAACTACTTGAAATTGAATACGGATTTGATGAAGGCAGGGAGGTAATTAAAGTAAAAATTACAATAAAATTGTGTTATACCACAGTCCTGTAATCCACCCGTATAATAAAATGGCGAAACACACACTGCTACATCAAAAATCATATATTTAATATTTAGATAATACCATTTAGTCGGTCCGTGTGGTGACGGATTAAGAATACAGATTGTCACCACCCCTATTCATCCTGTGGGTGTTGTAAGAGTCAACTAAGGGAAAAAACTACGTAGAACAACAACACTGCAGAGAGAAGGAAAACTTGACACAAACCCTATACCAACCCGTCTGGCCAGCGTGGTATAGTAGGCCAAAACCTCCTTGCTAAGGAGAGGCTTATGTCCAGCAGTGGCCTATTGAAGGCTGTTGATGATTGATGATGATTTAGTCGTAAGGCCTGTACCCAGACAAAATTGATGAAATGAAAGAGGATCAATCAAGAAATAAACACAACAAACTCACTTTCCAATACATAACATTAGTTAGGATAAATGTTTTTAACAGAAATTAATAGTAGTACCATTTTATGAAATAGTGAAATATCCACATTTAATGACATATTATTAATATTTGCTTTTGGCCTCGTAATAAATAGAATAACAAGGTGCAGATCGCTTCTCATTGTGCAGATAGAATGAAACCTGCCCAATTTTAAGGAGTTTTTTCCTTAGTCATTTTATAAAGAGAAAAATATAAAACATTTACTTACAGATGGCGAATGAAGCAACGCAGACATCGAATACGTGCATCTTGGAGAGCAACATAAAAGTTGGCACCAATGCAGCTAAAGTAGTCACGGCTCCGTAGTATAGGTACAAGCGTAACATAGCTATGTCCTTCTGAAAGACCACATCTGGATTACTTAACTAATATCGTGAGATTATTATTCTTCTGAAGAGCACATCCTAAACCATTTATGTACTGATATAATCGATCCTAAATCACACTAATAAATGGTAATGAAGTTTCTATTGTTGTTTTACTTAATACACCCTTTATTTCAAATCTTGCATAACAATGCCACTTTTCAATCTTGTGGGCTCGTAAACTTCTCATATATTAAGTTGAATCTTCTGTTTGCACAGAAGTTTAAGAGTTATTTAGAAAGGATTACACAAATTCTAAATATTTGTAACAATTGTAATTATTATTTTTATTTATTTTTACTTATTATTATAAAAAAATATAACTTTTCAAATCACTTGATCTTAGTATTAAGTAATGCCTTTATCGCAAGAGACTACAAACATTGAGACTACACACATACCTGACACAGAATAGTATAACTATTCTGCAAATCACAAAAAATATGGTCGCCTAAAGATATCGATGCTACCACAATCAACGTAATGGCAATTAGCAAAGTGAGCTCTTTAATAGCTTATAAGACATCTATACTCCTTGACGTTGCAGTTATATAGGTATAGTTGGGTATAATACACTAGTTGTTCCACGCTTCGCTTTGGTACATTGTGATTGCATTGGTGAGAAATGAGAAATAAAACTGGCGCGAAAAACGAATAAAAACAATATTTGAAATGGTTTGTACTTGTGTCAAAATTTGAACTCCATCGGTGCAGAACTTTTTGAAGCATACACAAACCAACTTAACATTTTTATTAATATAAGATTACTGACTTTCACTCTTAACGTCATTAATTTATCGGAATTGACGCTCTGATCAAAGCTGACATACCTATACGTTGAACCCTTACTTACACATAGTGAAAAACAAGTTACGATGATACATTGCCGGGCAATGACATTACTATCTTCAACAAACCAAACAATTTGTATTTTTTTTATGCAAGCAAATTGTATAATAAGGTAAAACCCGTTATATTTACTGGTGGCAATAAAATAAAAACTTGATGGTACACCAATGGTCTTAGATAAACGATAGAGCTATAATATCCCTAGTACTGCTGTCTAACTTAAATTTTTGCCAAACTTAAGTTTGTTTTGCGTGAGTGAATGGTAAATCATCGACAGATCGCTTTACCTCAGGATTAGAGTATCGATAAAGAAAATTACTGTTGATAATTGTAACCAACTCTAAAAGCTTACGTAACCTGCAGCACAAACATTGATTTCAAAAATACCTTCGAGTTATTTTAAGAGAAAGATAAAATCAGATTTGTAAAATATTGTGTACTCGTATGTGATGCAAAAATATTGTATAACTGGGTTATCAACAATCTAGTTCACGGGCTTTGCCTGATTGGGTTCAAACGGAAGAATAAAAGATGTCTCAAGTAATTTTTGCCAATCAATGGTAATCCTGGCTGCTTAATAAGTTTCGAAAACGTCTGAAGTCTAAAAAAATGTCGGATTAGGGATGTGTCATTTTTTAATTCATGTGTCGTAAAATAAAATGTCCAATCTAGCAAATATTCGCTAAATAAGATTATTTAGCGAATATTACTGCCTAGTTAGGCAGAGCCTGTACTATGGTAACCAGACTGATGATAAATATACTTAAATCTCTCATTTCGTAGATAAATTACAGCCAGGCCCAGGACAAATGATCGTGCTCATAACACAAATGTCTTTCTTAGGTGGGCATCGAACCCACAACCTCTGGCATAGCAATCGGGGGACAGTAACCAACACCCCAAAAGGCCCGTCTGCATGTAAACCTAAATAATGTATTTATTTGCGAGTAAAACTAATATGTTCTGTGCACATTTATGCCGACTACGCACAGACCGACTTACCTGAAATCCAGCCACAAGTAGTAAGATATTCAGAATAACGCCCATTCCGAATATACTGAACAGTATAGTTGCTGTCACCGCTTCTAATAGAGAGCCATCGCTGACATTAGATTTCTTCAACTCCGTCGTAATAACTAGACATGTTACAGCAACTAAGGAAAATACCTGTTAAAAAAACAATTTTGTTTTAATCTTTGCTTAGGAGTGCTTTTTAATGCTGCAAAGACTACCAACAACTTAAATGTACATTCCAAGTTTTGTACAATTAAATTAACTCTTATCTTACATTTGCTAATCTTTTGATTTATAGAGAATTTTTACTATTGTAATTTTATGATCATCATCATCATCATCATCAACAGCCTTTAATAATCCACCGCTGGCCTTTCCTTAGAAAGGAGGTTTTGGCCTACTATACCACGCTGGCCAGACGGGTTGGTATGGGGTTTGTTTCAAGTTTTTCTTCTATTTACAGTGCTTTTGTCCTGAGTAGTTAGCTCACTTACGATACCCACGGGATGAATAGGGGTGGTGTATTTACTTGCATGTCTTCTTTGTTTTATTATGTATATTTAATCCGTCCCCAGACGTAATTAATATGGAGCTATTCCTTCTGATTCTTTATTTAATATATCAATAAGAATCACCACATCAATCAAAAGTTGTTATTATATACAATATATTCAGTGGCAGATTATCCATCTATCATCTGAGAGATCTAGCGTTATAGCAGGAGAAGGAGGATACCTCATCGAGGGCTCAATGAGGTATCTAGGGTAAACTTAGACAACCAAGCGCCGGGCACACCATTATAGCGCGGTATGGAGAATTGGCTCGAGAGGAACACAGGACGGTGAGCATTCTCTAGCTAGGTACCAAGATTGCAGCCATGGTACAAAGTGAGAGCGCGTGGAACTCCACCACCTCCTTCTCAAATCAAATCAAATCAAATCAAACCAGGCGTTCCACCAGGCCCTGGAGCGGGCCAGGTAGGTGGCTCAGGTGCCGGAGGTCGCTGAATGACCTCCATCCTGCATAAGTGCAGGCCACCAAAAAAATGAAAGGTCCGGACAGACGGATTAAGATAGAATTATATTTAACAAAAAAAAACAACTGAATCCTCCTTTATTTAAAAGTGGTTCGCCTAGCTTAAAGTGGGTATATATCGAACTAGCTTTCTGCGACGACTTCATCCGACGTCAGACATCGTAGTAATTGTACTGAGAGTTTGGACTCGATAAGTTAAAAACAATAGCTCCCCATACAAACATATTAAGGGCAGTTTTGAAAAATTGTTAAAACGTTTTTTATTACTTTTAATAAAGAGTATTTACTGTGGGTTTGAAACGCTACCACCAAAAATAACGAAGTTTCATATAAATTTACAACCCTCATTTGGCACCATCAATCAAGGCATATTTGTACAAAATTTCATGCTGCTAGACCCAGCGGTTTCACCTGTGCGTTTATCAATCAGTCAGTAAATCAGTCTGTCTGTTTCTTCTTTTATAGATATAGATTAAAATTAGAACACAAGGTACCTACATGTGTCATACTTTGTACTAGTTTATCACTGCAAATTGACCCCATGTAAATAACGAGATGACAGCTGCTGATTGCATTTAATTTTAATTCAATACGTAAATGGCATTATATGTGTATAGTATGTAGGTATATTATAAAGGTAAAAAAAAAATCTTTGCGGGTTTTTTTCGTATACCTAGCGTATGTGGTATCCTGTTTGTCTAGATGCCCTGTATACCTATTGACGAACAATCATCATCATAATTCAACGGAGGTCTGTCTATAGTTGACTTAAGCAACGGTAAACATCAAAGATACACACTGCGGCAGAATTGCTACTTTTAAAGTCAACAGTGTGAAAAAAAGGAATAAATTTATCTAATGTACAAATTCTTGTATTTTAAATTCAAAATCGTATAAACTAATTAATCGAAAATTATGCAAGGGCCATCATCAAAAGCCAATATAGCTATTGTAACTAACTTGTGTAATAGACGACTTAATAAACATTTTTGTAAAACCTGCACCGACAAACAATCGGATCCTAATCCGAATAATCTAGAAACATGAAACATACAAGAGCCTCTGAAACATTGTCTAGGCAGGTATATACCAAAAACAATAAGAAACGAGCTTTAAACTTCGATGGCCCACGACATAAAAGGGGTCATCTATCGTATACCATAAGTATTATTATGTCCTTACATCACTTAGGTAACTATAATGTTCTTATTCGTAATTTTTTAGACAATTTTATTGAATCACTCTCAAGGCTCAACAGTATTTGTTGCGCCCTAGATTAATGAATATAGTAAAAACGAAACGAGATCGTTCACTTGCTTGGCATTTGAACCAGACTGATATTTGTATCTAACTTACAACGTTACTGTCTGTACTGTACGTGTATATGTGTGCGTAAACTAAATATCTAAAGGGCTTTCGGTGATACCATCGACAATCGTTGAATCATAAAATAAAGGACAATCTGCAGAAAAGCTGAAATACCATTAAATAACCTCAAATAATAGTGTTTATTATTATGAACGATTATCACATGGAAAGTATAATGACTAACAATTCAGCAAATAAAATACCAGTATAAACATGTGGCAACTTCATTTATGTAACAACATTAAATAAATATGAAAAAAGCTGACTGACTTTCTTGAGATTTATTCTGTCTCTTGCCAGTTGAAAGCCTCAATAGCAGCACAAAAAAAATACCAAGCAAAAGAGTCATGAAACTTAAATTTTTATGAAGATTTTTCTTTAAATATATTAAAAAAACAAAATGTAGTACTAAATTTTCCAAGTAGGTACTAATTTTTGTTAGAGTCAAATGCTCATACGAATCAAACCTTTTAAAATGTACAAAACATTTAAAAAGTATGGTTGCTATTACGAACAGAACAGAAATACGAGTAACTTAGCCGTGGTTTTTTTCTGTATTTTCAAGCCAACTGCTTAGCTTGTATGAGCATTTGACTCTAACAAAAAGTAGGACTATATAATATTACACAACTCTAAAAAATTGTCCAAGTGCTTCATTTCAGTAATTTTACTAGGATGTACTCGTATACGGTTGTTTATGAAAAATTCTTTAAGCTTTCCATGTAGGTACCTACCTAATACATAGGTACAAAGAATCGCTCAGGAAAGTGAGATATTCTTTTAAAACAATCAAGTAGAAAAACAGGATCCTGTATTTTTTTCTGTACAGAGTACCTACCTACAGATACGGAAATTCAAAAAGGTCTGACTTGATGAACAAAAAGGAAACTCAGAATATTCTAGAGAATATTCTGGGTCTTTCTAACTTGCAACGCTAAATTAAAAGGGCTAATATTATTTATTAAATTATTATCACTATTTCTATTCTTATATTTAGGTAATTAGATAACTACTTACCTTTACTCGAATGACACTCTTACACTTTTTTTTTTTAATAAATTGACATGAGCAATGATAGTGTAACCTAATGTCCACACAATATGTAATTAATTAATAATATGTAATTATTTAGTAATCTATCTACCTAGTAGTACCTACTCTATTACTTTCCTACATAATTATTTTTCTACTGCAATCCTTAGTATATCGCAATATCGACGGCTGTAATCATATAGTAGCATTATTTAAGAAATTTACGTAAAAAGCCAGATCTGCTAATTTACATTTTTTTTAATGAATACAACAAAAACTTACTACGTTAACGAATCCAAAAAATATAACTCCTTGTCGCAAAGAGAAACAAAAGCAACATCTTTTCACTTCTGGTACCTTCATTTGCTAAACAATAACTAAACGAAATATTGGTGCAATTAATTTAAAGATGTGTCACGGTAAACGTATCCGCTGTGCAAATATCACTATTGTGCATTCATTATCTAGCGAGTAAATAAACAGTAACATCTTTATGTGCGAGCAATGTCAATAGGTTCGTTGACTTTATATATAAACAAATTGACAATGTTACTTCAATTACATGATTAATTAAGAGTTTGTAGTTAACGAAAGATACAAAATAAGACGCTATATCGTTCATCCAATATGTTCCCATAATCCTTGATTAACACACAGACGGACCGTGTCGTTTGATGGACGATTTGCTCATTGCTGATCATTGCAAAATTGAGCCACCCACAAACGACCCCCAACATACTCGACCGATTAAACCCCCCTCTGTTTATTTTTCATCCAATTACCGTTCCAGTTAACCGAATTAGCGGTATGTTCACTAATTTACCTAATAACATAATGCGATATGATAAGCTCCCTTAGTCAAACCGTCAATAGATATAATTTTCTCTACACATCTAATTTTTGAAACTCGACTTTGGCTATGTAGGTACGATTGTAAGGTAAAAACTTTTGCTAGTAGCTAAGAATAACGATTTAAACTTTTAAGAACTCATTCCATCCAATAATTTAGGTACAGACTTGTGAATACCTACGGTAAAAATATCTACTGTTTCTAATAATCTAATTAATTAATAATTATTAATAATTAATCTAATAAATAGACGGCGGTGTGGTGACGGATTAAGAATACAGAGTGTTATCACCTCTATTCATTCCGTGGATGTCGAAGGACCACAGTACTGCGTAGAGAAGAAAAACTTGAAACAAACCCAACTTGATACCAGACAAACTAATAAATTATAATAATGAATTTTTAATGAAGTAGTTTGTACATGGCATACAGATACGAGGGGTGATCAATAAGTAATGATAATCAATATGAAACAGAACTATTAGATTTAAAAAAGTATTTTATTTTTCAACATAGTCTCCTTGCAAGTTAATACATTTAGTGTATCTTTTTTCTAAGCCCATGATTCCCTTAGAAAAAAATTCTTTGTCTTGACCCTCCCAAAATGCCTCTACTGCGGCCATCACTTCACTAGTGTCCTCAAATTTGTTGCCCCGGAGGTGTTCTTTGAGCCGATGAAAGAGGTAGAAGTCACTGGGAGCTAGATCTGGCGAATAGGGAGGGTGTTCGAGCAGTTCGAACCCCGTTTCTTCAATGGCAGCCATCGCAACTGCGGCTTTGTGAGCCGGGGCGTTGTCTTGGTGAAACAGCACTCCAGCGCGCAGTTTACCGCGTCTTTTTGACTTAATAGCTTCTCGCAATCTTCTTATTTGGCCTGCGTAGTAAGAGCCTGTTATAGTGGCCCCCTTTTCCAAATATTCCACCATAATAATTCCTTCTGCATCCCAGAAAACAGACGCCATAACCTTTCCCGCTGAACTTGACACTTTGAATTTCTTCGGCGTTGGTGAGGAAGCTCGTTTCCAAGTCATTGATTGTTGTTTGGTTTCGGGATCAAAGTGGTGGATCCAGGTCTCGTCCATGGTCACAAAACGCGACAAAAAAAATTCTTTATCGGCCTGGAACTTTTGAAGATTCACCCTCGAAATGTCGACTCGTTTCTTTTTTTGCTCGTCGGTTAACATTCTCGGTACCCAACGCGCAGAGACCTTTTTCATATGCATTTTGTTGACAATGATTTTTTGAAAGCTGCCATAGGAGATCCCTGTGACCTCAGCTACATGCCTTACGGTCACCCTTCGATCGGCCAACACGATATCTTCCACTTTTTTGACGTTTTCTCCAGTAAGGGACGTGGAAGGGCGTCCCTCGCGATGTTCATCTTCAGTGGAGGTTCTGCCCAGCTTAAATTCCTTTGCCCAGCGTGCGACTGTGGAATATGGAGGAGCAGACTCCCCCAATGTTTCCTCTAAGTCGCTGTGTATGTCTTTGGTAGACATTTTTTTCAGGCAGAGGTACTTGATGACAGCTCTTATTTCATTTTTCTCCATTTTGATGTTTTCTCTTCGACAGTTCGTATTCAAATGAATGTATCTCCCGGTAATGGTGTCCTATTTATACATTTTTTTGAAGCTGAAGTAGTGGATATATAAGCAAGCAGAAAAAAAATATTTGGGTTTTTGTGCGTTCTAGAAATACTCGATTATCATTACTTATTGATCACCCCTCGTATGTCTTAAATACTTATATATTACAAGGAAATGGCCTCGGATCTACGAATTTTTCAAGCCTGGGCAGAAACTTTGTTTTAGCGCCCCCTCTCTCCAGCGTTTGAAATAAATGACTTAAAACACTTACAAATATATATAATGGTTCAGGATATAACAATAATATATTGGTTCTTATAAGAACCCTTAAATAAATTTGTACTCCTTAATATCTTTCACTCAATAACTTTTTCAACGTGCGCTACATGCTAGGCGACTTGTTGAGCAAGTTTTTTGAAGTGAAAAGATCTTTAGGCGTTAGGTTGGGATTTTTGAGTAACAAACAAAAAAATGATTTTTTGAGATGGGAAAAAACCATTGAACTCGCGACACTGTTACCGTTACCGACACCTCACCTCACCTCTAACTATCTACATATATAGGACCCGTTTTCAGGAGAGTTAAGTTTGGATTGAATTACATTGGTAATATAACTACATAGGCAACCTGTCTGTATCCTAGGAAAGAGTATCCGTTTATAATGAGTCTTATTTCGGTTACAAAAAATTGGTACATACAGTGGGCGACCAAAGTACTTATGGAAATAAAAAAAGTACTTAAAGGATAAGGTCCTATAAAGGAAAGGATAAATCCTTTAAGTACTTTTACTTTTGTGTGTATGTATGTATGTAAACCTATCTCACTTTACTGTAGAGTGGTTAGAAGCTCCTCGGTATCACTATTATTAGCGTCTGTGCCCATGAATTGAGTTTACCTCACGCTTAGTCAAGGCGTAAATATTTAATCGTTTGTTGGCTTTGATATAGAATCTAACACTTCAGCCATTAATCAACATGCAAAAACAGTCCTGCAGGACTCTGCAGGAGACAGTTAGACATGAAGAAAATCCACGATGAGGCTGACCGACAAGCTACTTATTGAACGAAATTAAGATATAAAATTTTCCAACAGTTAGGACATTGCATTCGGAGTACCATACATGTCGGGTAGTCACCTGGTTTAAAGTGAATTATTTTAAACAAAACCCTTTAAACTCTTTACAACTTTAATAACTAAACACAGCAAACTATTCTGTTATTATATGAACTAAAAGTAATTTGACGGCTGCTTTTTGCCTAAGCTATCACAATAATATATTTTTTGATATTTTTTTCACGTGTAATCACTAACTGATGTCAAAATAGAGAGTAAAGCCTCTCAATAGGTACCGAGTGACTATTGCATTTACTCATACATGTACATATCTCTTAATCTGTGATTGCCTTGTGTAAGTATAACTGAAACTTATTACCTCATTAAAGTGGCTTTTGAGTTCAAGATCTGCGAGCCAGAGTATTACGTTTTGTAACGGCTTGGTGGAACAATTTTAATTATGCTATCAAGGTCTTAGTAAGTCCTTTGGGGATGCCCAAAGTATTATCTGGTGCTTATTTTCTAAACATTAAGAAAATCAAAAAGATTTGTAAAACTCAAGAAACATTTAACACAAACATTTCAAGAAAATAAAAAGAGTGAACGAAAGTAACGTGTCTCACAGTGCATTAACAAAACGAGTAATATACTTTTTATCTGTTTTATCTGTGGATAGATTCGCTGATTTTAGATTGAGTTTGAATAATAATTTATTTGGTTACAGCTAAATATACCGTAATTGGATTTTATAAGAGGTTAAAAACACAAAGGTAAATATCAACAAACCATTATTCTTTACGTGAAGGCAAAAATATATGTGTCCTTCTCGGACCATTTTTTGAGGTTAGATAACATGTCGTGGAATTAGATAATTGTCGGTATAAATTGTTATTTATTGTGCTTTATTTACGTTTTCTATATATTACGAAAACACCCGATTAAAACGCATTCTCGCATACTCTTAGAATTAATTGAGAATTGTTTTAGTCTTTCTGATGTCATTATTCTATGGTTGCTGCATTAATACCTATTATCGGCTGTTTTTTTCTTATACTATAAAGACATTCTTAATCTCTTTACATTGTTTACATGAACTATATTGGTATTTTGCAGAAATGGCTGCTCAGCTCTTCAATCGTATCGGTCAAGTCGGCCTGGGTGTGGCGTTAGTTGGTGGAGTCGTCAACTCTGCTCTTTATAATGGTAATGTGTGTTCGCTCACAGTCAACCACTATATCTAATATCCTTATCAAATACCTAAAAGACTGACAGCAACTAAATTTATGACTAAGTTATCTGTGATCCTTCTATAAAAATTATCCACTTGTATATTTAATTTTATTAAAGGTAGAAGGATGAGTTTCGAGCACCCCTACTTAATATTCTAAATGCGAAAGTAACTCTGTCGGTTTGTTACACTTTTACGGTTAAGCCTCTGAACTGAATTTAATAAAATTTGGCATGGAGAGACTTTGATTCTTAAGAAATGGCATAGGCTACAATTTATCACGATCACCGATATATACATGGGCGTAGCTTGCAAAAGCTAGTATTACACAAAATTTTGAAAGACCATGAAAATTCGGCATAAGTTGAAGTTGTAATGTATAGCCATACCATGTTAGGTCAATTGAGTAATTACTGGAAATTTAAAACTTGATGTACATACCCTCTGTATGTCAAATTTTTTGCCTAACAATGTTGGCATTCTAGTTTCTACAATCTCCCCTTAAAAACATCCTATCAGTTTTATGAAATTCACATCACATCTTCAATATTTACTAAGAACACTTACAAAAATGTTTTTTCTTAAATTAATTACAATATTTTTTAATAATTAGTAGTTAATAAGTTTGCAGCTTTAAATGTTTAAAATATTGAAACTATATTGACATTTATATTAACTAATAAATAGCATGTCTAAAGAAAACCATCACCAAACAGTTTGTGTGCTTGCCAATGAATTTAATAAACCTATACATAAAACCTGTTGTTGAATAAGCTGTAAAAGCCTACACATTACACAAGTCTTTTTAAGTTACAAGTGAGGTGTTGGCAATACATTTTTGTTAGAGTTATGATTTCTTGTTTCATAATGCAATTAAAATATTTTTAAGCTAACCTCAACACTTGCTATTTTCAGTTGATGGTGGACACAGAGCAGTAATCTTCGATAGATTTGCTGGTGTTAAGAACTTGGTGACGGGTGAGGGGACCCACTTCTTTGTCCCATGGGTACAGAGACCTATTATCTTTGATATAAGATCACGTCCCAGAAATGTTCCTACAGTTACTGGAAGCAAAGGTAATCAAATAGAAAGCCCTTCACATTTTTACTGTAATTTATAATTTTAAATAAAATTTAGTTGGCCTTAAAACTGTTCATACAGTAAGAAGTACTTGTACAAAGTACTTACTGTACTGTAAAGTAGGTACTTCAGATTTTTTTTAATTTTTCTCAAATTTGTGGATCCTAAGTGCTACCTGATGATGGTAGAATGTGACTGATCTAAGTCATAATTTTGTCTTTTTGAGAAAACTAGCGAAACATGTTTGTAATTGTTTTGAAGAAACTAATGCCTCATTACTATTAAATATTTATTAGAATCACGCCTAACATGTTGAATTGAACTTATAACAATGTTTTCTACCATTTTTTCCCTTATGGTTAAGAAGGTACTGCATGTATCATCTGTTTTTTCTTGTGCTTTATTATATTGACTGATTTAGGAGTAAGAACTTTTATTTTATTGAATGTTGCTATTTTGAATATCTTTATATATCAAAGGAGAACAACAGGGCCTCAATTCTGCTATTTTAATATTGTATCAATAGACTGTCTGACTGAATAGTTTGCACTGTTCTTATTCTACTAACTATGTAAGACCAATAGACTCCCGATGACTTGTCACTGATACAAATGTCGTCGATATCTTTGCAATAGTTTGGTAAATGGTACATTTTAAATTTTTAAGAAAATGATATATTCATCCTCGGGCCATCTACGACATGAAGATGACCTCATCCTGCTTCTTCCTTTTCTGTCGTCTTGTCTTCTCGAGTCGTCTGCGGTACCTGGCCCGTTTCCGAGCCTCGCGGGTCGGGCCGGCTCCGCCATCTCCTTTGCAAGCATAACTTGCTCGCAGAAGGAGACGGAGATTTATGATTGAGCTCACTAGTGTATTTAGCAGTTAAAAACAAACAATCATTATTACCAATGTTGACTGTACAAATAAGACGAAGTAATAAAGGAATGATTATTTAACTCAATTAATTTAAGGAAAAGTAGTAATAATTCTTATTCAAATCGATTAGATTAATCGTGAACATTGTGTAAAAAGTAATTTAACTGATTTGATAGGGATTTTTTTATTGACGGATCAAGTAAATCGTAAACGATTAATTTTGTGTTTAATAATTATGGTACCTTTCTTTTTAATTTATCCCCTCGGATACCACGCACCGGTGGCTATGTCAGACTCGAACCGACTAAAAACCGCACGCTGCCACGCATTCGTGACAGCCATCCGCCATTTGTATGGACTTCAGTACAGCCTGTGTGCAAACTACAAACAACTTTTAAACGCAAAGTTCTAAAAATCTGATAGTTAAAACTGTAATTGTTGATGATATTGTCAACCAAATAAATACAACAATAATCCCTACTATGAGATACGCAAGGTACGGTACGGTACAAAAGTCCCATACATACCTGCCATTGTCCTTTAAAATTATTTCTCCGTTAGTGATAATTTATGTAAAAATAAAGGTATACATAACAATTAATTATCTTACAACTTCCTACCGGACTGGAATGTTAAGTAAAATTTATGAGAATATATACCTGCTAATGACAGAAAAGTATTGAGTCACATCATCATCATCAACCATCATCAGCCTATAGCAGTCCACTGCTGGACATAGGCCTCTCCTTAGAAAGGAGGTTTGGCCTACTATACCACGCTGGCCAGACGGGTTGGTATAGGGTTTGTTTCAAGTTTTCCTTTTCTTTGCAGTGCTGTTGTCCTGCGTAGTTTGGTCCCTTAGTCGTCTCTTAAGACACCCACGGGATGAATAGGGGTGGTGACATTCCGTATTCTTAATCTGTCACCACACGGACAAGTAACTACACATTACATCAATAAGATACTAAATTTACATGTATCTCTATATTTCAGATCTTCAAAATGTAAACATCACTCTTCGTATCTTATTCAGGCCTGTCCCAGACCAGCTTCCAAGAATTTACACTATCCTTGGTGTTGACTATGATGAGAGAGTACTGCCTTCCATTACATCCGAAGTTCTCAAAGCTGTTGTTGCACAATTTGATGCCGGTGAACTTATTACACAGAGAGAGGTATGATAAAAATTAGTTTAATTAACTTTTTTTTGGAAACGCTGATAATTTCCCACCTAAAAAATTCTTCTGAAATGGTAATTGTAATGCATTCATTTCTCAAGAAATAACACTATAAGTGGACCCAATTAACAAAGGAATAACCATAACCACATTTAACAATTCACTGACCATTAACCTAGACACTTACATAATTTGCACTTTCATGAGGAGAATGTTATACATATGATATACATCATATCCGATTGTGAGATATACTTATGCAATCATTTAAAAATGGAAACGGACGTGACGTGAGGGTTCCGTACAAATTTGTAGGTACTTAATATAAACAGTTCAGGAATCGAATCTCGCAGCTTTTTCCGTGTTTTTTTCCGAACCTATAAGACCGTGTGTTGACGGATTAAGAATAAGGAATATGACCAGCCCTATTCATCCCGTAAGAGCAAACTATGCAGGACAACAGCACTGCAAAGAGAAGGAAAACTTAAAACAAACCCTATATCAACCCGTCAGGCCTGGCTGGGTCTGGCTGGGTGGTATAGTAGGCGAAAACCTCCTTTCTAAGGAGAGGCCTAGTGCACTGTTATAGGCTGTTGATGATAATTATAATAATTATAATATTGTGTTTAATAAGCGAAATTGTACATTGATGATTGATTGCGTACTTTAAACAAAGACTATTTTTTTATGATTTAATTACAAATGTATAATTTTCATTTTTATACTTGTGGTATAAGACGATGTTACTTGCCAAATTTCATAGTGCTAGGTCAACGGGAAAAACCCTATAAATTTTGATTCCCTTGAGTTTCGAAATATGAGTTTTCTGAGCAGAACGAAGTTACGCGTTACCTAATTATATACAGGGGAATTAACGTGTTCATGTAATACCTAAGTATTACATAACTTAGAACTATCTGACATTTTGACTAGGTTGCACATCAGAGGGCCAAGTGCAAGTTTATTTCACTTCTACTCGATCGTCACGGTGGATTGAGATTGGCCCGCACTGAAATCTGCACCAATAGCAACACCACGATAGAGATTGGTTTGAAAGACTAATTGACTTGTATGTTTTACAGATGGTGTCACAGAAAGTCAGTGAACTGTTGACTGAAAGAGCATCACAATTCGGTCTCATTTTAGACGACATTTCAATTACACATTTGACGTTCGGTAAGGAGTTCACACAGGCCGTTGAATTAAAACAGGTTGCACAACAGGATGCTGAAAAAGCTAGATTCTTGGTAGAAAAAGCTGAACAACAGAAGAAAGCTGCTGTCATTGCTGCAGAGGGTGACGCCCAAGCCGCTATTCTACTCGCCAAGTCCTTCGGAACTGCCGGTGAAGGTCTCGTCGAACTTCGTCGTATTGAAGCAGCAGAAGACATAGCCTATCAGCTATCCAAATCCCGCAACATTACTTACTTGCCACAAGGACAAAATATTCTCCTAAATCTGCCTACACAGCAATAACTTTGTTAGTGATTACCTCAAAATAATGTTGGACACATACACGTTTATAACGGGGCTGGTTCTTAAAAATGCATTTGTTTTTACAACATATTGTAAAAGAAGTTACATTTGTTGAGTCGTATGATGTGATTGCGCAATACAATAAAGTAGTCCACTATTAGTTTTATGAAAAATTGTAATTACGCATTATACTATAATTTTGTTGATTTCTTGGTTTTATTCAATCTTTGCATCAGATTTACAACGTGAAACTGTTAAATAAGGTCATTATTCAGTACAGTAGTAAGCTACATTTATTTGTACATTTTGAAAGATGAGCACTCGGCTTTTGGCGTGCATAGTAAAAAATAATCGCACACAGGCCAATCAGCGCATGCTTTTGATTCAAGCAGTGCAGTAATCTCTGCACGCTTACCTATTAATCAAAGAACATTTACTGCCTCGGCTCGCATACATATAACATGCTTAGATAGGAGTCCGTATAACTCGCGCACGATGCTGCGCCGCGCCACATGCGTCGCAAAGTGCGCATGCGTAACCGAAAGTGCGCGAGAATTGCTAGATTAACTTTTACATCCAATAACATAATTTCCTAACTTGCCATGTTCAAGTACACATCGGATTCAAAAGTTCATTTTATAGGTAGTCCTTGGTATACAAGTTGTTTAATAATGACTAAATATATGCGATAAAATCATGTAAGCGTATTATGATCAGTCGGTACTAAAATATGACCTGTTTGCAGAGTTAATAAATACATAAGGTAGGTACATAATTATATTTAATGACCACTATAATAAATGAGACACATAAATGTCATGAATAAAATTTCTTGTAGACAAGCTGCTAAAAACAGAATGGATATTCACAATTCACATAATCTTTAAAATTAAACAATCAATGACAATAATATTCTACCACATTCACACAACGCCATCTAGTCCCAAACTAAACAGAGCTTTGTATGTATAATAATGGTATAATACATATATATATACTTTTTTTTTGTAAATACATTCTTATTATACATTCAAAATCGATCTAAGTGGCGTGTAAGCGGAGAGGCCTATGTCTAGCAGCGATGATGATGATGATATATACAAACACCCAAACCAAATCAAACATTAAATGTTCATGCACACAAATGTATGAATTGAGCGGGAATCGAACCCGCGACCTTTGGAATAGCAGTCCGTTACACAAACCACTACGCCATCCGGTCGTCAGCAATGTCGTTGCATGTATAGCAGCACTATCTAGATCAACCCTAAACATAGCTTGAATTAAGTACCTTTTTTTAAAATCCATAGGTAGCTTGAATTAAGTACCTATGGATTTTAAAACAGAAGTTATTTAGGCATTTTTATTTGTGACTGTATATATTCACATTGCACTCAAACGATATTTGCATTGAAAGGGAATCATACCAGCGACCCTTTACATTGCAGTCAGACATCGCTTTTCCACTACATGACAATGTCAAATCTTAAACCGTTATTGTAATTTAGTATGAGTATTTCTACAATTTTTAATTTGATTTTAATGAAACTGGAGCATTCAGAATATCAAAAACCATTTATTTAACAGCTACTGACTAATACGCCTCTGAAGCGCGCGTGTTATTGCATATCCCACTCCGGAACACTCAAAGCGGAATATTCGACCTCGTCAGCAAATAAACAGGCTCTCGTGAAGGCTATTAAACCTAGCGTCATCGCTGGGTTTAATAGCCTTCACGAGTTTCGAGAGTTTCCAAATTGTAGGTATTTAAAAAACCGCTAAGACAGGCGGCGTGTTACGTGTAGCTAACGAAAGACAGCTCAAAAAACTGGAATCTGTAGATGCTATTAGGTGCTTTTAGATGCTATTAGGTCTGTAGGGTTACGATTAGAAAAAGCGAAAGGCCAAAGGCCCCGTATAATTGTAAAAGGCTTACCCGGTTCTATGGAGGATCATACTTTCCTGACAGCTTTATATCGTCAGAATATCTAGGACGAATAAAAATTAAGTGAGAATGACTGTATTAAGTCAACCAAAATTGTTAGATATCATAAACTAGAAAATGGGCGTCAGTTTGCAAACATCTAGCCAACACAAAAGATAAACTTTATATAGGCTGAGCCACTTGTAGATCCATAGACAATATAGAAGTAGTTCGTTGCTTAAACTGTCAACAAAAGTTATTCAACATTAAACCTCCTAGTTTTACGGATACGAAACGCGAGCTTGTCCAGATTTTAAGCCAACGTGCGCACAGTGCACGCGGTTAAAAAAAACCATCTGACCGTCGATGCGGGTCACACGACTGTCCTACATATAAATTAAAACTAGAGCAGCTAATCTTAAATACCAATTACTGAATAGTTTATAGAGTAACTTACTAAGTAATGGATAATACTTCTATAGGTCAGTTAAATCTTCATAACGATAAATTAGCCACATCAGAATTAGACCGTTTAATTTTAGAACAAAAGACAGACAATGTCCTTATATAAGAACAATATCAGAGCGCTCGCTTGCATAGTAATGTAGTACAGCTAGACTGCCGTTCGCATTCTGGGATATATGTTGCAAGTTCTAATTTTACGGTAACATCTTTGCGTAATCTTATGACGTCACACTGTGCCGTTGCTGAGATTACATCCTCTACCTGTAGGTAGAGGTGTAATGTAGTAGGTCACGTAGTGAGCTGCTATTTTCAATATTCACATCCTATTGCTCCTCACTTACATCACTTACGTTACGTCTTGTAGTCCCTCGTGAGACAAAAAATTATAATTGGCGTTACGTTATGGTATTACGTTCAACCGATACGGTTCGACGTTGTGCGGTTGAATATTTCATTGCGGAAATGAATCTTACTATTCACAATACCCCCGATGCACCACCACCTTTTTGCAACACAATGTAAGATTGCTTCAACAGCAGTCCGATGTCTATAATGACCTCATAGACGAATGGCAACAACGCTGGGACGAATTATCTAATTATCTTTCCATCTGTTCGCGAACTGGGCCTCAATTCTGCTATTACGCCAAGCCAGTGTCATACCACTGACACGCTATTTCCTCAAAAAACGTAATATATTTTCAACTACCGATATTTATACCGATGCCAATGGCTACTCGATGGCATCTCAATAGCGTGTCAGTGGTATGACACTGGCTTGGCGTAATAGCAGAATTGAGACCCTGTTGTCGAGGACATAGCTTAAGATGGATCACTGTGTCGCTCAATTTCTTACAGATATGGTAACATAAAGAGCAAACTGTATTCAATTAAATTAGTAGAGTCACCCAATGGTGACTGGTGTGAACAGTGAATGGTGAATTGTTAGGTGTTGAGCATTGACACAATTGTCAATGCTCAACACCTAACTCTAACTGTGAACAATCTGCTCATCACATCCTCTGGGAATGTAGTCTTTGCTATAATAAACGTAATACTGATTAGCTTGCTGGTGACATGTCTGGCGGTATATAATGGGGATCTTGTGTCAACTAGTTTGAATTTCCGTGCGTTTAGGCGATTCTGCTATACATATTATAGAAGACATTTTTTTCATGGGACTTCCCGAGTGTCATCACTCGGTGTGTTTGTGGGTCACTGCTGTTGATCTTGGTGTACAGGAGTTACAGTGGTGGGTTTGTGGGAGGGATTAGTCCCAATCAAAAGCAATAAGTATTTATACTAGGGTCACATAACAAGATTCAAAGAAAATGACATCAGTATTGGAAAACTTACAATTCACTGAAAGAAGGTATTGAAAAATAATTTAGCAAATACTGCAAAATCTGTTTTAATTAAATTTTTATTCTTATGAATTTTTGCAAATTTTCATCTTCATTTTACTGTGTAACTCTTTCAAGCCTTCTTCAAAATCCTTGTTTACTGTATCTATTTCAAGTTTTTTGCAAAACAAATTTTCTCTAATGCATGCATTTTTAACATAGTCCATTTCATCTGAATTCAAGTTAATGGGCAGCAATAATTCATCTTCTGTATGACTATATTTAAAATTCTTTATCAATTCATCAACTTCAGCTTTGAACTCTTTACTGACAAGATCTACTGCAGCCTTTACTAAGTCCTTTACTTGTTCAGCAGCTGCCTTTGTGTCATTTTGAGCTTGCTTTAAATTCTTTAATATTTCGTATTCTGCCTTCATCATTTCATTTTCTTCAGATATTTTTATTGCTCGAAGCAATTTTTTTTCTGCTGCATCATATTCTCCAATCATTCTAAGGGCTTTAGCATTTTGAAATAGAACTTTCCCATTGTTATACAAACTTCTTAATCTATTGAGCTCATTACATGCCGTACATGCCAATAAAGGTTTGTTTATCTTGTTATAACAAATAGCTAAGTTGATGTACAATTTTATCAACATCTTTTCATATTGGTGTTCTTCTTGTTCATCGGCCAGACGACACTTATGAAGCATATTGACACTCTTCTTGAACAACTGTATGGCTCCTGTATAATTGTTTGTATTGTATAAGGTACTGCCTGATGCATATAACAATTTGACTTCATGATTCACCCTTTGGAACATATTAGGTTCAGAGAAATTTATTTTACTGGAAATAAAAAATAAAATAGTTTCAAGTTTCATTCTGGCAGTTTGGTATACACATTGTCTATATTTATGTTTGGAGCTTTAGCGAAACCAATACAACAAAAGTCCTAGCAACCCCTACAATACAGAAATACTATACTGAAAGTGCTTACCTCGTCTAGGGCTGATAAAACCACAAATCCGAGATCAGTATCAACAGCCTTTAATAGTCCACTGCTTTACATAGGCTTCTCCTTAGAAAGCCTGGCCTTGGCCTACTATACCATATTTATTTCAAGTTTACCATCTCTTTGCAGTGATATTGTCCTGAGTAGTTTGCTAACTTACTCGGCTCTTGCAACACCCACAGAATAAAAAGGGGTAGTGACACTTCATATTCCTAATCCGTCACCACACAGACAGATAATCTAAGATATCAGGTTAATATAACTTACCCATCCTTAGGAGTCAAGATACTCTTTATGAGTTTTATATAAACAACACAGTCAGCTTTTGGCTTTATTCTTGGTGGTACTCCTAATTCACCATACATAACTTTGTACGAAAGAAGAAACACAGATGTTTCACCAACCAACATTGACTTAATAGCCATCTGAAGTCCAGGTAACAATCCATTGTCATTGAGATCCTCAACCTAAAACATGAAGTGATTCATATAAGCTCTTGATATGTTTTACGCTTTATGTTTTCGTTAATATTGACTTCTTATTATGAGACATGAGCAGTCTGTTAATTTGAACTTGGAAAGTAAAACAATATCTAATCAAAAGAAATATGTATGTGTGAAAAATCAAATCAAAACCAAGAATTGAACAAATTTAAAGTAAGGTAATATATGTTATAGATCATTCCCTTACCATGGGTTTATCACTCAACACTACATCATATGGGTAAGGCTGATTTTCAAAGTAGCAGGAATAAGCAAAAGAGACGGTGCAACCCTCATGAAGAGGTAAACCTCCTCCTTCTTCTAGAATCTTCTTTTTGACATATCCAAGTTCATCAACAGCCAAGAGAGTTTTGGTGAAGGCGGAAAAATCGGCAACTGGCTCTCCGAATACGTCTACAGGCTTCAAACGGGACCCATCCTGTTCAGATATATTTTCGGCGTCATTAAGGTCTTCATTGATGTGCAGGATAGAGCCAGTTGTAACCACATCTCTATTAAGAACGCATATTTATTAGGTGTTAAAACATTTATAATATGAATGAATGGTAATCATATTCTAATAAATGACAAATGTTCATGGTCAAATATTTGTTGACTTTTAATTTTTTTTTACATACATTGATAAGAACTGTTACTTGCCTACCTTAGATTCAAACCGTTTTCTAACATGAAACTTAGTGAAGACATTGTCCTTTTACAATATTATTTATCTTAATATTCATTTGAATAGGTACTTATCCCAGAAGTTAGAAGATTTTGTTATACAATCTTAATTACACGCTTTATTTTTAGAATATGGGGAAAATATACTAATACGACAATTAAACTGCTGACTATAAACCTCATACCAACACATTTTATTCAGGTAGGTACTTTTCTAATTATTTCAAGGTTAGTGGTGTTATGCCTCGACTTTTCTAACCGATTTAAACCAGTTCTGCATGACCCGAGTTGACTCGGTAAGCCCGTGGTTTAAACCGGTTCAACCGTATCACAAGATCGCACTTCACTTAGCTTCGTACTGTCGCACTCTCGGTTCCTGCTTTATCGAATTAACAAAACTTATTTATCTACCAACTGATTCTAAACCGAGTGGATTCGTCACGGCAGTGAATATATTTTTATCAATTTATATTATTGTGTTCCTACAAAATCTGATACGGTTGGGTCGCGTCATCAGTTTAATAATATTTTAATAAATAAAACGGTTTACTAACCGTTCCGTTATTCTTCCACCAAATGAGAAAAAAGAAGGCTTGGTAATCGTGTTATTTGACTCGGTAATTTGTTGAATTGCCCTTCTCTCTCAACGAAACCGACGCGGCAACGGTATGAATTGATTGGTATCAATTCATACCGTCGACCGCTTCGGTCATCGGTTAGTGTAGGTAATGTCAAGTATGAATTTATGTATTTGTAATTATGTATGTCTTGTATGTAAACTTGTTTGCCAACCGTTAACAAACCGTAAAAAGTTGGTTCGAATGGATCCAATCGAATCATGTTGCACATTACTTTCGTATGTTACATTCGCTGATCAACTCATCATACGATTTAAATCGGTTCAAACCGCGGTTCACTGCAATTTCAACGCTTCAGTTTGAAACCGATTCGCACGAATTACCTAACCGATTCAACTCGGTTTGAAAATTTTCCAGACCGTAACATCTCTATTCAAGGTCTTCAAGTTCAAACGTCATACTGACCATAGATAATACAGTACCGGTGCTGTCATTAGGACAACTTAGGTACCTAAATATTCTATGTCAAATACGTTTCGAAAATACAAAAAAATATTTGTATACAATTTATTAGTAGGTATTAGAATATAGCCGTACCTAAAAAACGAACCTTTTAGCATAGTAATAATATTCTTAAGAGAAAGAAAACTTGAAACAAACCATATTTCAACCCGTCTGGCCAGCGTGGTACAGTAGGCTATAACCTCAAACCTCTTTTCTAAGCAGAGACCATGTAAAGCAGTGGACTATTAAAGGCCGTTGATGATGATAAATAAAATTCTTAATTGATCTAAATAAGGTTCACAACGTTATGAAATTATCTCACACCTGCGTTACAGGTGTTAGTATCTTTCCATGAGCATACTTTATTATTTGTCTGCCATGCAATTTATTCCAAAAAGCAGATAATGAGCTATTATTGGTCAGATGGCTACTGCCATAAGATATCTAAAGTATCTATAATAATTTAACTTGTTAGTAATGATGTTTTATTATAATGGGAAGTACCTACATAATTAGGTACATAAAAATTTTAAGTTGGTTTGAGTACGCTTGAAAAACTCAAAAAGTTCTGCACCGATTGAACTGAAATTTGACACGATATAATTATATACCTACGACCTGCTTCAAAGGTGGTTATTATTTTACATCAACGCAACCACAACGAATCACAGCAAAGCGTGGCATTGTACAACAGATTAAGATATTTATACATAGTAGCAATGTAGGTAGGTACAGCTTGTTCATAAAAATAATTAATAGTTATAAATAATACAAAAAGGAAACTAAAGGTAGAAATAATATTAGATCTTTACTTATGGAGTGGGAGATTTGTAGGAAAATTTCAAAAATTTGGTTATTTTCTTATTTCAGCTAATTAAAGTACCTACTGGCTCAAATTATGTAGGTATACAATTTTGCCATTTCGATGGCAGTTTGTTTATCCCTTTATTATAGAAGTGTGCTGGACGGGAAGCGATGAAGTCAGCGAAAGTGTTTTGTACTGCCTCTCAGGTATTGAATATATTCCAACTTAAAAATTGACCAATTTTTGAAAAAGGACATGTCTGTTGGGGCCAGGTTCAGTGGGCCGTACTCACCGGACCTTTCTCCATCTGATTAAAACACATTCTGTTTGCTACAACGCTCAAAGTTGTCGTGGAGAAGCAATGTGTAAGAGAGATTGACTAGTCGTGGTTGTTGAGTTGTGAGCTTCTCCATCATTGTTTGCAATTCTTGGCAATAGACATCTGCCGTCACTGGTGTGCCATTTGGTAGGACCCTGTGATGTACAAGTCTGGCACTAGTCCACCATACCCCCCATCCTCTTCCTATGGGTAATCTTTTTATTTAGCGCACTGATTAGGTGCTGTACCCGGGTCCACCGACTGAGACGAACGCTTGCGGTTATCGTGCAGCATCCACTTCATCCACGCATCTAACAATTCGATTCAGAATTCATTATTTTCTATGCCGATCTAGTTAGTGCTCTGCATGCTTAGACGCGTTAGTCTCGCTGATAGTCGCTTAGTTCCTGTGGCACCCACTTATCTAGCTTTTTTTATCTTTCCGATTTGACGCAAGTGCTTCAATGTTGTTTTGACACTATCTCCAAAGCTCGCAGCAAGCTCAGCCGTAGATTGAGTTGGATCCGCTTTCACTATCACTATTGTCAACTATAGTTACTGTTCGACCGCAAGGCTCGTTCTTCAACTCAAAATTTCCTGATCTAAAACGATTGAACCAATTATAGACCTTGTTTATGCAAGCAGTGTTAGGCCCGTATACGTCGTTAATGTTTCGTGTTGTTTGCGCATCGGTATTTCCACGTAGGAACTCATATTCGAAAATCGTATGAATTTTCAGTTTATCCATGGCGCCAAAAACTACTACAATTTCAGAAAAACGACACACTATCTAAAACAAATTACTATATTTTAAATTATTATAAGGTGGGTTTCGAATAAAAAAAAAATGAATTTGGAATTGCCCGCAATCCACAGATAGTTAAATCAGAAAATGTGGGTTTTAAAAATCTCCAACTTCTAGACCATTATTATGTCAATGTTCTATTGAGTTTTATTTGTGACTTCTTAAATAACGGTAAAGAAAAACAAAAGTGAAAAAAAGTTCAGTATCAGACAAATTGCAGGATTATGTATATGCTATATGCTAAAACAATTTAATTTGATGACTGCACGGTTGGCGTAGTGGTTTAAGCGGTCAATCCCCACATGGAACAACACTTTGTGTGATCCACAAATTGTTGTTCTGAGTCTGGGTGTTCGTTGTGTCCGTTTCATTTCGTTTCGTTTGTAAAATCCCTCGCGACACAGGATATGTTCCGGCAGCGGGAGTTGTTAAATAAAAATAAAGAATTTCATAAATTCATAAAATTGTACAGTTAACCACAAAAATGGCATTTTAGCAGAACTGCATATACACATGTGTTTATTGCTTTATTGCCTAGGTAAATTTACTAAAACAAAAACAAAGCATTTAAAGTGCCACTGGCTACTGCTATTATTGTGATAGCAATCGTGTATTAATCAGTTGTGATATTAATAGGCCTGTTAAAATTATCGACTCCGATAACATTATTGATAGTATCGTTTGACAAAAGTTAATTATTTAAATAGTGTTTCATTACACGTAAAAGAACACAATTTTTCAAAATTCATGTTTAGCAGTTTTAAGACAATGTGTTTTATTTTTACAGCGTAAAGTATTTTTGGACCAATTTTCATTTTCATTTTTTTTATTTTAAACTTTGACAATTCTAGTATCCTTTAGAAACGTGCCTGTAGCGCAGCGGAAATGTATTAAACTACCACGCCCGTTCGCAGCTTCAATTCCCGCTCCGTGTCAGTGAACATCTTAGTATATTACAGTACTTCAATCGATTGAGAAGTTAAGCCGTGAAATCATGTATAACAAACCCTTTCTTTTTTCTCATTTATTTGGGATGCTTTTTTACCTCAGTTACAGGTTATGCGTTGTGCTTTATATTTAGGTATTTTTTATGTTTTTTTAAATCAAATAATATACACGTTAGGGGTGTTAAGGATCCTTTCTAGGGTATACCTGGTTCCCCGGCTATTAGTACCCGAGACGGCGTGCGGTTTTAGTCGGTTCGAGTCCGACATGCCACCGACAGGTGGTATCCGAGGGGATTTCCGCACGGAAAAAAAAAAGGGGTGTTAAGGATAAAAATATAATTTCCGTGAGCGTTAGAAATTTTACTAAAACTTTTGATTATAGTCTTTGATATAAGTAGTGCCTACCTATTGTAGTGTAATGAAGTACTCGGGAGAAGAGTAAAAATTAATAACACTAGTAATATTTAGTAATAATTTATATAAATAGTAATATTCTTCTTAATAAAAATCAATAATTCTGAATTATTCTTTTGTTTTCTGATTTAAAGATTTTCTTAAGACTGCGATGTAGGATGAAATCAAGTCATCCATCTTATATCCTAAAGATGTTTCACATAATATTTTGGTTCCTCGTAGGAAGTTGCCCATAGTCATGTGGAAGAAGGTATTCCCCGACGACCAATTGGAGATTTGGGAGAACGGATGCGTTACCAATATGTCCTGGAAAACATATTTTTTTGTTATATATTTATAAGTTTGTAACCCAACAGACACAGTAATTAGTTGAATAATTAAAGCTATTGTTAATAGGTGCATTATCAATCAATAATCTCAATTTGGTGTCAAAAAGACTCTTTTAACGACAAAATGTTGGTTAAAACTACTTACGAAATTTTGATATCTATGTAACTAAGTGAATATCAAAAGATATGAAAATGTTTGCAGAAGTTAACAATGAAAAAACTGAGCTGTTAAAGATTTATAAATATGAAAATAGTTTGGTACTAACTCGACTCTGAGGGTGAATTACACTGACGCCATTTTTATTGATACCAACTAAAACCATCTCTGGAAAGGCAGGATCGGAAGTTTGCTTAACCTCAAAGAAAGCAGTGCCAAATGTCGGCAACTGATAAATTTTCTTCAAAAACTGTTCCTTTGCTCCGTTTTCTGTCAATTGATTTTGCTGTAAATAGGCCGTACTAATGGCTGATTTCCATTGCGAATTATTAAAAATTCTTAACATATCAACAGGTACCAAATCTTCAAGCATTTGCGTGATTTGCGGTAGCATGGACTGATCGCTACCGTATCTAGCTCTATATATCAAGGCTGCTAATTCCACTAGGTCTTGTTTTGAGGTTTTATGGTAACCTCTTAAATACTTCGGCAACTCTTGCGGGTAGTAGAAAATTTGGTCAGCGTTTTTATCTCTACCAGGTAAGGTGTTAATCCAAAGCTTTTTCATGAAGAAAATTTGATAATTCATTTGCATTTGTAGTTGTGGACCTCCTGCAAAAGAGAAAAAGTATTTTGAGCAATATTCATTTTGCTAATGATTCACATTTTTAATCTACCTTTACTTACCACGAATGGGACGCGTCTGCTTCATCCATTCTACAAGTTCGTGAATAAAATCGAAGAAGTAATAGTTTTCAGGCACTGAGAATACTTTATCCGCTATCTTAACGAAAAGACTAAAACCATCACTGTTTTTGAGGTTCAACCTTCCTGTTATCTGTTCGCAAAGGTCGCGTGCCTTAGTAGACGAATCTACTTCAAAAGCCTCATCGGTATCATCAGGGAAATAGACTTTATGATATATCTGCATACTTCTGTGTTGAATTGCTTCTACCTCCACCACATAAGGAGCATACAATCTAGATCCTTTCTTTTGCGTTTTAAATACACGTTTTAAACATTCTTTGGCTATAGGGTGCGGTCGAGTTTTGAGAAACTCGACCAGTTCTTTAAAGAGTGACTGCCCGCAAACAAAGATACCCGTTGCGAGCCACATTAATTCCCATCCTCTTTCCTCACTAAGCTGTATCCTATTGTTCGTAAGCTGCTTCATTATTTGGCAGTAAATTTCATCACGCAAAGAAATTTCTCCTACCGCAGATCTAAATATTTCATCTGTGTATTCAGTAACTGATCGTGCTTTAGGTGCTGGCATATCACCCATGTACTTTAGCATTCCAAAGAATGACGAAACTGCGCATTTAGACAATGTCACATCTTCTAATATTTTTTTTAACAGAGGCTTGCGTATTGGTTCCCTAGTGTGAGCCCAGAGGTCACTTGCAATAGTTCTTTTAGCTGTAATTAATGTAGACTGCTTCGAAATAGTAGCATTTATATCATGGCTGCTTCTGAAATGCTCTTTTGCATATTTTTCTAAAGTATGCATTCTTTTTCTTTGTATTGTAGAATACTTAGTAAAAGGCTTCTTATCGGTATTGACAGTACCTTTTCTAAAGACTTGAACTACTTCAGGTTGTGGTATTTCTAATGTAGGTAGAATATAAACCTGTTCTGTGGGGAATAATCCCTCTTGTCCGTTGCATGAACCATGTCCCCATGTGGAATTCATAAGTGTTTCTCCAGTACAATCCTGCAAAAGGACAATAAGATCTCCTTTCTTGTACTGCAAAAATGATGAGGCGTCAGCGTAACCCTGGGCATCAGATTGTGCCACAACGTAGGTTGAACGTCTTTTTAGACCATCTATCATGTATATTATGAGAGAGCTCATTTCACTTGCGTCTACACTTTGAAATTCATATTCTTCTTGGTGGATTGTTCTAATTGTGACTCTTCCTACATTGTCGTAATCTTTATCAGAGTCATAAGCAACATAAGTGACTTCTGGGTAAGAAATTTCTAATAGAATTTGTTCTAATTGGTCTACTATATAAATTCCAGTCCAGTTAACAGCTATAATCACGATATCTTTGCTAATAGCATCTCCTTTTAATTTAATAGTTTCGAAGAATCTAGAGAAAAGCATGGGCCATTTTATTTTGGCAAAAATTACTATATCTTCTTTACACCTTAAAGGATCGACTTTGTTTTGTATACTCGTTGCAGATTCGAACGCTTTTGTAACCAAATGTTCCCATTTCGTTAAAGCTGCATCATTCGATTGAAGGAATTGATTGGGAATATAGTTTACTATCACTCTTCTTAACACGTTCGGATCTATATTCGAGCCGTATTCTACATAATGTTGTTGAGCTGCAATCATTGCTAAATCCTTTTCAGAATTACATCTGTATTCACCAAATTTAACACCTTTGGCTACTTGATAATATATTAGATTAGTAGCAACGGTATCATCAACCGGGTTATGCCAAGGAGTAAATACTTCTTTTCGATAAAAGAGTCTCCATGGTGCATGTTTTTCTGATGTCCCTTGTTCCTTAGCAAATTGTTCGCACTGTGATATAGCATCCATGATATGTTCTCCTTCACTTCCTAGAGAGAGCACTTTATCATATAGAGTAATATATAGCGAAAACCCGAAAACATCCCTCAGACCTATACTATCTGCTATTTGCTGACATATCTCTTCAGCATTTGACGCTGAATCGGACTGGACAGTTTTCATTGTTTCATCCATCAATGTTACTGTAAGGAGTATAGGTTTCTTCGTTTTCGTAGCTTGAAGTTCAAGCCAGCTTGGAGGTTGAGTCCTTGGGCCATTTTTAAAAGTTCTTACAAGTCTTCCTTCACAATATGGAGCATACCCTGGTGGGCCACTACGAATGAAACAACGTAAGTATTTGACAAATCGTTTCGACGGCGGGAAGCAGCCCACGCAGAGTGACAAAAGAATCCAACCTCTTGCGTGAGATGCCTTGGATGGATTATTGGTGAGTTGTTTGCATAATTGGCAGAAGATTTCATCTCTGAAATAGACAATATTTTATCATAACTTTTATAAGCAACATTCAAATTTTATTTTAGAAATCTTAAGAATCTAGACAGAGAATAATCAATAAACGATTTTAGGAGTAAATATAGAATTTAGGTTAGTTAAAAATGTAATAATTACACATATGTGGGTAGTTTCATCTTAATAGATACACCGTTAGTTACATTTGTAAAACTATTTTAACAGACCTTAGCTCTTTCCGGATGATTCCGTGGCCAATGATGAAGTGTAATTTCTCCAAATTGGTACTTCGTCGGGAATTAAGCCAGCTACTATACATTTCGTTTGTCACATCATCATTTAAAAGGTTTTTCATCAAATCTTCATCTAACTTAGTTTGTCGTTTTAACGTTTTTGATATCATTTTCCTATTACTTTGATTGTCTTTCTGTAGATACTCCTGAAATTGACATAAATACGTATGATAGTGATTGAACTCCAAATATGTTCAATAATGAATTTTTAAGATCTGCGATGATTATAAGACCAAGGGAACGTGACGGAAATTCACTACCTAAAGGCTACCCCTACGGCTAACTATAATGTGGATTAAGGGGGAGTCCGTGAGGGTCTGGCAAGTTGGGTTTAGTTCGTACGATTTAAAGTAGAGAATATAATTAATGCTTGACGTAACTACTGATTATTCAAAACTGAGGGAGTCAATTTTGTTAGTTTCTGTGTCCTCTGAGTGAGAGCTGGATCCGCACTTGTGAATAGGTAGCTTAATTTTGCGGGTTTATTTCAAAATTCTTTAATTTACAACTGCATTGTGTAAGAAATAATGAACTGGGCAATCTATAATCAGTATATGTACAGCGTATTACAAGAGAGGCACTTACCTCAAACTCCTTACTTTTGGCGAAAGCGCGGCCAATAGTGTCAGACAATTTGGTCATAACAGGAATGTTATCAACGTTATCATCTACATACTTAGGCTCAGCCATATCTCCCATAAATCTCAAAATTGTAATCCATAAAGCTTGAGCAGCTATCCTGTCTATAGGTGAAGGTAAATCTAGAAGAGAATGCTTTAAAGGTTTCCTCGAGTACTGGTGTGTAGTATTGCCCAAGAAATAAGTTGCTGCAAATTTTCTGTAGTTAAATTCATCAAAAGTCTCTTCTTCCTCTTCTTGGAGCATTGGGATTACAGCAGAAGCTTCTGGTTTTGCAGTAGAAGACTAAAAGAACGATTTATTCGATAAAACATAGTACATCAAAAGAAATAACGCTAAGAAATAAAAAAGCGGTCAAGTGCGAGTCGAACTCGTGCGCCGAAGGTTCCGTACCTAGATTTTCGCGAAAACTTATAAGTACCAAAATTAGTCATAATTTTCAACTTTTTCATTTTTAAATTTTCCTTTTACTTGTGCTGTACGACCTAGCTTTTAACCAAAATTGTCAATTCTAAGTCAACCGGCAGTACCCTATATGTTTTGGGTCGAAAACCCATATGAGAATCACGAAAAATATTGACACTTACAAGTTTTCGGGAAAATTCAAATTCGACCATATCTTTTTATTGTGTTGACTCAGGACGTTTATACACCTAATAGGGACTATAGACCTCAGTATCTGGTATAAATTTCAACTTGCTAGGTCCACCCGTTCCTGAGAAAATCGGTGGTAACATACAGTCGGACAAGAGAGTGACCTTATAAGGGTTCTTTTTTACCTTTTAAAAATTATGCTAAAATGCTGCTCAAACAGGTATAAAAATTCTTTAATCTGAATCGTCTAAAGTACGATAATATGCAAAAAACTTTCATGTACTATTCATTTTAATTAACAATATACGGGTTGAAAATTGTGTATTTTGTTAATATTCGACTAGTTTCGAATCAAAACAAAAAGTAAAGTGTCCTACTGAGTTGTGTGCAACAAATACTTTATGCTTAATATACTTACTACCCCAAATCCAGTTCCTCTTACAGTACCACCAGGCGTTGAAGAGTCCTTAAGAAACCCAAAGACATCATCCACGTATCTGTCATCAATAATCGCGTTCTGAGTATTTTCACTTGGTACTTCCTTAACAAACCATATCGACCTCATTAACTCATCATATTTTTTCTCGTGGTAATTCTCTGCTGCATTTTCACTATTATTTGTTCTTTGAAGGTCTAATTTATCTTTCTGTAATTGAACTAAGGTTGACCTAATAATGTGGGCCTTCTCTTTCACCAACTTTCTGATAAGATATCCTCTGCAATGAGCTTGGAAATGTCTGAAGAATTTCTTTATATTTAGGAAAGTCTTTCTCAATTCTCTGGATCTTATGGTAGCTTGTAGACGTGAGTAACCACGTTTCATAGCCAAATATTTGGTCCTGTACCCACGAGCACGGAAAGTTTTTTGAATTATGAGAGCAGCTTTGCGTAATTTCAAGAATCTTCTTCTATATATAAATCTTCTAGCATTTGCTTGAACCCTGATTACAGCCGTTATTAGTACTTTATGCCTAAGATCTTCAAGCAAAGCATCATGATGATCTTTAAGAAAAACTTTTGTATGCCCGAAGCGAAATTCTTGATCATGCAAGACTTTACTGCAAATTATTTTGGTAGCGTTTTTGCAATCTGTTTTTTCAGGTGGTGGAATATCTGGAACTACAAGACGATATCGATGAACAAATTCAGAGTATGCGTAACGGATGGGATATCCTGCCTGTCTTATCTTAGCGGTTTCCATCAAGCCAGCATATCGTAGCTGGCGAACACATAATTCTCGATCAAAGAGCTAGAACAAGTAAATACCAGGTACTTAATTACACTAAATAGCAGAAAAAGTCATAAGAAAAGCAGTCATGTACACATGTTATACAGATACCTTTGGCTTCTTAAACTCATTAGGCTTAATGCATCTCACAAAGAATGGATGACAGGCGTATAAGGTTTTCATAAGAGAATCAAGTGACGTCTTGAACTGATTACTCAGTGAAAATGGTTTTCTACTTCCACTATGATTACCAGAAAAGTTAGATGTAAATAGCGCCTTTAAAAACTCATTATTACAATCTAAAACCATTTCTTTCGCATCTGCTGTTAACTTATCCCTGTTTTTATCTAGAAAACCTGTAAGAGCAACATGTATGTATATTTAAATTATTCTGTAAAAAAAATATGCACATTCTATATTTAAATGACCTGTAAACCAACCTTGTACTGAATAGTAAACATTTCCAGCAAAATGTTTCACACCAAACCTGTGCTCATGACTTGACTTTGGATTAATATAACAACTTTTGGTTCCATGGTTGTTATTCAATTTTGAAAGCAAACTAATATCTGTTCCTTTTGGAAACCTTGACTCTTCATCAATTAGAGAAAGCAAATTTAAAGGTTTAAGACCTATAAGGTCAAGGTTTTCTTGATTATCAACATAGTTTATATTGTGCCAAGTTATTCCTTCTTTCTCATACTGTTGTTGCTCAATCTTAAAAATGTGCTTAACAAAGAATTGTTGCAAGTTTTCATTAGCGTAGTTAATACACAATTGCTCAAAACTATTGTAGTCAAAATTCTCAAAACCGAAAATATCCAAAATACCGATAGAACCACTGGAAAGCTGTTGGTCTTTGAAAAGTGTTTTGTTTATCATGTCTACTATATATTCAAAGATGTGGCCGTAAATAGCTTTGACAAGTGCATCCCTGCCTTCAACAGCAGAAGCTGAAGTGAGAGTAGTGACAACTTTGTCTCCATGTGCAACAAAAGTTTTTCGTGTCAAGGCATCGCAGAGAGTAGCTTTATTGACTCCAAGAAGACTGGCAATCCTACTCGCATTTATAACATCCGCCACTTCAGAGGATTCAATGTTATTAACATTAAATGATTTAAATTTAAGGTTTCCTAAATGTAATATAGCCGCTAGTAGGCTAAAAATGCCCCAAACCTCGTTGTCTGGGAAATTCAGGACTTTAAACGCGGATCTTATATCATTGAATTCCAAGCCATCATTTCGGCCATCGCAAGTTAACATATTGCCAGAGTTTAAATAAATGTAATCATGAGCTCTTCCTAATTCCAACTTTTTTTTTTCTTCGGCTGATAATCCCGCAATGAGTGAATAAAAAATGTGATAATTTCTTTCTCCCTTATTTTGAAAGACTATACGTGATTTCTCTAGAAGATATTGATCGATATTTCCTCCTTCAATGATACCTTTTCTGCTAAAGTAAATGTTGACGTATTTACCGAAACGCGACGAATTATCATTTCTCACGGTTTTAGCATTACCGAATGCTTCTAATATAGGATTAGTTTCTTGAATTTGTTGTTCAATCCACGAATGTTTACCACTGGCCGCAGCTAAATATTGAAGCAATAATTTCGTGCTTTCTGTTTTTCCAGCACCACTTTCACCACTAAAAAAAAATTATAATAATTTAATATAAGTTAATTGTATTTGGACATTAATATAAGTTAATCGTATTTAAATAAGAGACACCGTATTTGTACGTTTTACAAGAATTGTTATTTACTGATTTCATCAATAACGGAAAACATGACGACATGAAATTTTTCAATTAGGTACTACAATTTTTACAACCATTTTAATATTCTAATGATTCATAGATAGATACCTACCTACTTAAAAAGTTTTACAAAAAATCTTTTAATGTTCTTTCAATATCTTTCTCTAATCTAAAAGACAAAGATACTGCCATATCGAATTGATGTTTGAGGTAAGTAATACAAACACACATAGGTATACACAACAGCATACTTTTCGAACATGTTGTCTACTCGCCCATCTATTCACCCAGTTACCCAAACGTTATAGAAAGTACTAATCTACAATCAGTTTTAATCGCATGTTAGGCAGTTTACAAGTAAATAGCATTAAAAAATATACTTTTACAAGAGGTTATTGTACCTGATGACTATGCACTGGTTTGATGACGTATCCATAAGCTCTTTATAAGAATTATCCCCGATAGCGAATATGTGTGGCGGTATTTCCCCAATCGTTCTCTCTTGATAAAAGTGTATCTGATCCATTGTGTAGATTGGCAGAATTTCGTACGGGTTTATGGCTATCAACATTGATCCTGTATAAGTCTGAAATTTGCAAAAATATAATTTCACTAGCTGACCCGCGCAACTTCGTCTGCGTCTCTCAATAGTAATAAATTTTCTCCGTTTTTGAAACATTCTTCATTGGTGCTCCGCTCCTATTGGTCTTAGCGTGATGATATATAGCCTATAGCCTTCCTTGATAAATGGGCTATCTAACACTGAAAGAATTTTTCAAATCGGACCAGTAGTTCCTGAGATTAGCGCGTTCAAACAAACAAACAAACTCTTCAGCTTTATAATATTAGTATAGAATTACACGTGTTTAGAAGGAGCGCCCTGTCTCAAGTCATATAAATCGTCATAACTATGTAAAGGTAATGTTTTATTACTGGTACTGACTAATAAACATATATTAAACGGGTAAACCGCGAAGCCTAACACTTTTACACAAGAAAATAAAATTTTGTATCACAACATGGATTGAAATATGTAATAATTAAATTAGATCTTACATATTATAATTTATTTTACAGTTTAAGAAAACATTCAATTTCGAAACTTCATGACAATTGTCGAGCATAATAAAAAAGATCCTCACATAAATGAGTTGTTTGTTATACCGCATATGAAGATTCCTCAGGATAGTATATTCTTGGAGTTCTCCAAGCGTGATCATATCTTCGACCCCCATTATGGAGGTCGAGTGCAGCGGCTTCATAACATTTTGTATCGATGTGTTAAACACTTTGCCATCGTCATCCTGGACCTCAAGCTTGTCACCTTTATTTTTCTGTACCTTTACAGCTATAGGAATATCGAATTCCGATTTTCCCGTAGCTTTCAGCCAGACATAATCCTAGAACATGAAAATAGGCGAGTATTTTAGTCTGTAATGTAATTTCATATCATTTTTGGTTACACCTAGTTGTTTTTTTCACTATCTATCACATCATTAGGATATATTTAAAAAAATAAAGAAAATATAGATTTTGCCAACATTTTTTTTTGAAACTTGGACATAAAGTTGTGAAACTTTTGAAGCCGTATTCTATAAATTGTTCTTCCAAAAAGTAGATACATCAAATAGAAATAACCATAAGACGGCTTTCAATTCTCCTTTTCTTAGCCTGGAAAGGGATGCATGGTGTCTTGAGACATATATTATGCTATATATATAAATATATTAGTATATGTTATATAATATCGCACATAGAGAAGCACCAAAGACTGTTAGTAAGGTGTGTTTCCGACCGTGAACATGACAGCAAAGGTAGATATCATCCTTTATCAGCTTTTGTAATTAGTAGTAAATTGTATTTAATTTTATTTTCTTTTATTGTTTAGATCTAACTACTATAGAACTACTACATTACACATAAATAAATTATTTTATCAAAACATATTTTTAATGTTTTTAAACATGTACCTATCTCTAAAGCGTAAAGCTCAAGCCATCTTGAGCGTTTCACTTGACTCAAAACACAATGTTTTTGTACGTAGTGACGACAAAAGAAAATAGATACTTAGGCTGTTTGTATTTTTATTTCATCTATGATTCATCTACTTATCATTATTTTTAGTTTTTAAAGTTTCACATACCTACCTTGATTCATAGTTAAATTAACGTTAAATAAAAGTGGTTTCGACCAACAAATTCGAACCGTCAGACAACATAAAGGTAGTGAACCTAGCACCAATTACGCGTTCGCGCTGATCCCCCGTTTACATAATTTTACTTACATCATTATTTTTTCGTTAATAAGCGAGTAATAAAACTCAATATAATAATAAATAATATAATATAATAAAACCCTGTGTGAAAGCGTTTTTGCTCAGAAGTAGACTGGCGTTAAATATTATTAAAATTTCCACCATTTCAGCCGTAGAACGAAATGATATTCCTGCATAACCCCTATAGTGGTAATCATGCTAATGTTTATAGCGCATCACAAGGTCACTAGCGTATTTAGAACATAGATATAAACACGGTTTTCGAAAAGATATTCGCAGTGTTTAACAACAATGCGCATAAGAACTTACTGATAATTGTACGCGTTCTGCCATCTCGAATATTGAGATTCACCTCACGCAATAAGAACCAAACATTATTTAATCACAATATCGCAGGACATCTACTCATAGACTGACGAACTTTATCAACATTAAGGTTCGTCTTATCAATGATAGTGGTCGGACTTATCATAAATATTTTTTAGATATAAAACAGCACAGCTATTATAATATAAAAGTAGACTACATACAATATCTTATCACAAATATCTATCTATATTATTCACGAATACCTACCTAATAAGTTCTAACTTAAAGTATAAATTGGAACAGCTACAAAACACACTTAATAAGTTTTGTAATTACCATAATAATTATGCTTTCGCATTTCTTCCGTTTTAAAATACTAGATGAAATCAGCCGCATAAATCGTCTCTATTGTTATATACGTATGAATAGAAAGGCAAAGGAAACATTAATCAAGGACTCCTCATTAAATAAATACCGATAGGTACATGATAATATAATATATACCTACGCTAATTATAAAGATATTACCTTACTGTACATAAGTAATTCCTTCCAGCTTTGTGCACATCATTGTTCATATGAGGTATTTGTAAATGTTTGTGTACAATGAGAATAAAATACTAAATAAATAATTACATTGTGAAACAAGTTCCTTATAGCATTAGCTTAAAACAATTGCAATATAATGTATGCAACTTATAATTAATAGATATGCTATCGTATATCATATCCTGTTTTAAAGAGTTCCGTTGTATATATCCCCGATAATTTTCATCAGATCTCAATATGTTAAATAATGACACATTCCCTGAAAATTGTTCCCATTCAAAACGGATGAATAGCTTCTGAGAAAATAGCGGCGATACAAATATACACACGTATATAATTACATGTATAGGGTACGAATACAGATCCTTGTTCTTCAATCGGGTAGACAAGTGTTCCAAAAAATATCTGCGTGCTGAGGGCAAAAAGAATTCTAGGGCGCTAAGAGTTCGAGATACAGAAACTAGAGCTTCACGAATGGTCTCAATCTCGCTTCATATACTATCTCATCATACATCTTCATTCAGAAGGAAGGATACCTTGGGTATAAATGGACGCATTAAGTTATTTCCAGCAAGCATACCTATTTTGAGTAAATGTTGTTATCGTCGCAATAACTAATCCTTTAAGTAAATAGAAGTAATTATCTCTAAATGTATATATATATAGATATACGAGTATATATATAAATGTTACGTTGGTTTGTGTACCTATGCTATATAAAACTTAAAAGTTTTGCACCGATTGAGCTCAAATTTTGACTCGATATACAACCCGCTTCAAAGGTGGTTTTTATCTATTTTCCGTGTAAGTTTTGTTCTCCACGGCGAAGAGTGGCAGGGTACAGCTAGTTATCTATATTTGATTCATACCAACGTAAGGCAAGGCATGTAAGCTGCCTGCCAAAATATAGATACTGATGTTGGTAGATAAGAGCATAATTATTGTCGGGTCGGACCAAATGTTTGTATAATCTGCAAAAATTTGTTTTGGAGTTTGGGTGTTTTCGATGTATGATATGTATGTATTTACAAAAAAAGTAAGTATTCTATCAGTCAATCTAGCTTTCATACTTCAAGCTCTGATTAGTTTGAAACTATACTCGTAGTTTCTGCTGGCGTTGTGTGTCAGATGTCCGAAAATATTATCATCGTCAGCCTATCGCAGTCCACTGCTGGACATAAGCCTCTCCCATTGCACGCCACTTAGATCGATTTTGGGCTTCTCGCATCCAGCTCCTGCCAGCCATCTTGCGCAAATCGTCACTCCACCTGGCCTGTGGGCATCCGACACTACGTTTGCCGCTGTCTCCACTCAAGAACTCGTTTTCCCCAACGGTTGTCGGTTCTGCGGCTAATATGGCCAACCCATTGCTACTTCAGCTTGCTGATTCGGTAGGCTATGTCGGTGACGTTAGTTCTCTGACGGATCACCTCATTCCTGATGCGATCCCATAGAGAAACGCCGAGCATAGCCCTTTAAATAGCACGTTGAGCGACTTTGAACTTGTAGACCAACCGTACAGTAACTGTCCTCGTTTCGGCATAACGGGTAGGACACACTCATTAAAGACTTTCGTCTTAAGGCACTGTGGGATCGACGATGAAAAGACTCGACGTAGCTTCCAAAACGCTGCCCAACCCAACTAAATTCTTCTGTTCACCTCGTCCTCGAAGTTGTTTCTACCTAACTGCAATGTCTGCCCGAGGTACACATAATTTTGAACAACTTCAAGAACGGCTTGTTCTTCAAAAAGGGTGGCAAGACCATGTTGAAGAACTATCGACCCATATCCCTTCTAAGCCACGTACTCTAATTCTACAAGCTGTTTTCGAGAGTCATCACAAACCGTCTTGCGCGAAGACTCGACAAATCCCAACATCCGGAGCAAGCTGGGTTTCGGATATGGCACCATAGACCACATCCACACAGTGCGGCAGATTACACAGAAGACCAAAAAATATAATCAGCCTCTGTGTCTAGCATTCGTGGACTATGAAAAGGCTTTGACTCGATCGAGATCTGGTCTGTTCTGGAGTCCCTGCAGCGTTGCCAAGTAGATTGGCGATACATCCAAATTATGAAATGTCTCTACGAAGCCGCTACCATATCCGTCCAAGTACAGAATTAGCAAATAAGGCCCATACCGTTTCCCCGAAATTGTTCACAAATGCAATGGAGGACATGTTCAAGACGCTACACTGGAAAGGGCATGGCATCAATATCAATGGCGAATACATCACTCACTTGCGATTTGCAGACGATATCGTCATCATGGCAGGGACGCTGCAGGACCTACAACGAATGCTGAATGACCTGGCTGAGTCTTCTGTACGCATCGGCCTACGGATGAACTTGGATAAAACCAAGGTCATGTTCCACGAACATGTACCACCGGAATCCGAAATTTATTAGATATTATTACAAATCCACACTAATACTAGTATTATAAATGCGAAAGTGTGCCTGTCTGTCTGTTACCTCTTCACTCTTAAACTGCTGATCCGTTTAGATGAAATTTGGTATAGAGACAGTTTGAGTCCCGATAAAGGACTTAGGTACGATAGTTTTTATACCGGAAATCACCCTTTAAGGGGGTGAAATGAGGGCTGGAAATTTGTATGCGAAACCAATGCTAAACCGAGTCAGATGAAATTTGGTCTGGCGATAGTTTGATTCTTGAGAAAGGACATAGGACATTTTACCGCGATAACCGAAAAGTTTATTACTACGCCACCTGTTGTGAAAGTCTTGTATTTTGATCCTATGTGTTATGTGTAGAAATACAATAACATTTATTGTACTTTTTACACATAAACAATAACATACCTACCCATCAATTAATTTATAGCCTTATTTATACATTAAAAAACAATAAAAGAAACAATACACTGCATAATCTGAGTAACTGACATAATAATTAGATATATATAATATATTCTACCACATACACACAACGCCATCTAGTTCCAAACTAAGCAGAGCTTGTATTATGGGTACTAGACAACTGATATAAATACATATATACTTTTTTTTTTTAAATACATACATATTATACATAGAAACACTCAGACCAAATCAAACATCAAATGTTCATGCACACAAATGTTTGACTTGAGCGGGAATCGAACCCGCGACCTTTGGAATAGCAGTCCGTTACACAAACCACTACGCCATCCAGTCGTCAAAATTGATGGAGATGGCGTAATTATAAATAAAGAAAATATTTTTATTTAGAATTATTCTTTTATTATCTCTAATAATTCGTAATTAATCATTTAGTCATTCTCTTCTAGTTTTTTTCATTCTCAAACATAGTTTTTATAAATAGGTATATGTAGTAACCCTGATACTATCTTTCGCTGAGATTTGAAAATAGTGTTAGCTGTGATTACCTACATGATTAAGTAAAGAAATCGATGTATACACCAAAAGGGCATTTTTTAATATGTGAGGGTCATTAAGTCCCTGTTGTTCTGTGACTGGGTTGAAAATCCCTTCGGATCTCCTGCTCTTAGGGCACTCAGGAGCTAGGAGTATGTGGTGTGGTGTTATTAATTTATATTCCCATGATTATCAGCGGAGTAACATAGGCTGCTTTTTACCACGATAACAGAAGCACACGCACTGTTGGAACCACAAAAGCTAGTCTTTAGTAAAGGAAGAAGTCCAAACCCCAGATCTTCAATAAATATAAAAACTTCTATATAGAAAATAGTGTCCCTTCCCTCTAAATCCGAGTCCTTGAACTATCTAAAGACTATCTAAAGAATTTATTAATCATTGCAAAATAAAAACGCCACATAGAATTAGTAAATACAATTTATTTAAAAATAATTCAGCATTACAAACAACTTAATCTAACAATCTAAAATTACTTTTTCTTTTCATCTTTATCTTTTTTATCTCCCTTTGCCTTATCATCAGCTTTCTTATCATCCTCTTTGCCATCTTTTCCATCTTTCTTCTCTTTTTTATCCTTCTCTTCCTTCTTTCCTTCTTCTGCATCTCTGTTTGTTATTTTATTATTAATTAAATTGTGTAAGGCAATAATGGACCTGACCAGAGCTGCCAAGTACACTACAAGGGACTGATCATTAGTCTTAATATATAGATTATCAATGAAGCTATCATTCGCAATATCAGGCAATAAATTAAAGATGTCTTGAAGCTGGTATATGATTTGGTGGTTCATGGGCAGAGAACCTTGGCCTACTTGGATAAGATAGTCTCTGATCTCACTCAGCTGTGAATGCAAACCTTTCAGACCCAGTAACTGGTTAGTGATCCTTTGAGAAAGACTACCAACTGTTGTGTCTTTAATGTCTCTTAGCAGATGTTCCACACCAACTTCCTCAGCCTCTTCTGCACCAATTTCACTTGGAACATGTTCGAAAGTTCTTGAGGTCGGTGTCCCATCATCGTGTACTTCTTCTACTGCCTGATAGGCCTCAGTAGGGATACCAAGATCTTTAGGTTTAGCATCAATAATTACTAAGACTGAGTTAGGACAGTAGCGCCTGATTAACTCATTGATAGAGACATCATTCTGGTGAAGTTTTGGCCCTGTGTGGTACCAGCCCACTACTTTCTCCCTGGCGTTGACCTTCTTAAACATACCATACATGTTCTCTAAATAATCATGGTCAAGGAACCACACTGACTTGTCTTTGTCATCTTCATCAAATGGTACTGAAAACAGACAAAAAAGCTATTTATAATACAGTGAACTAAAATTGTATTACATTTATTTCATTACATAAAATTTAGTTCTAAAATGGTTTTAATTAATGTTAGTTTTATTTACTTTACTGATGCACCACAAATGAAATGCCAGATTAAATGATACAATGGGTGATAATTGTTTATATTACATTAACTTTTACATTTAACAGAATATCACAAAAATGATAAATAAGTTACAATGATAAGAGTACCTAACAATATAAGAACTAATCAAAGGTTTACCAATTAAGTTGTGACTTTTCTAATAGCTATTTTCTAATTTTAATGTTAAATTTTACATTTTTATCTTTAATATTTTTTGTAGAGAGAGTATTAAACACTGACACATGTGTAGACACATAAACAATGTGTTTCTAGGCATACAATTTAAAACAAGCCTGTTAAAGAAATTCATATTTAGCACTAGTAAGATTCAGTAGTTGATGTTTTACAAAAAAAGCCAATTTAATAAATACAGATAATTAATATACACACATAATAATTAATAACTACACATAATAAACACCTCGCACGTCTCACACACTGCTGTCTCATCCCAAACTAGGCAGAACCTGTACTATAATAAGAAGACTACTGATAAACATACTTTTATATTTCTAAATACATACATAATATAGATAAATTACATCCAGACACAGAAGAAATAATTGTGGCTACATGACTTTTTTGAAGGAGTTATTGTCATAATGCATCTTTTTTGCAGTGTAAAAGATCTTTTAGATGCATTTTTATTAAAATCTTTTCATTTTAATAGAGCTTACTTATTATTTAACTATAAACATGTACTTTTGTTTTGTTCATAATTTTTGTATGCCAAATTTATTGTATACTACGACTGCATGTCTACTTTAAGCTGTATTCTACATAATTTCGGACATCCTAGGTACTAAGGTCCAGTTAAGTTTAAAAAATATAGAATTAGAATAGCTGCTTACGACGAATAAGATTCGCATAACAATGACTGAATACATTTTACCTGCGAAACTGTTTGATACATCCAGAACACCTTTAGCTCTCCAGCACCCAAGTAGAACACCGACGACTCGCTTCTGGTTACCTATTTTCCCCATCCGATTGAAGTGGTCCACCACGCTCAATAGGACCAGAGGATGAACCACCACTTTTGTGGTTAATACTTCTTGACTCGGCATTGTGGCTGTCTTAAGTTAGAAGATCTTTTACAATGAATAGTAATAATGATATGTAGTACAAGCAGGTAACAATAACAAATCGAATATAATTCACTCAAAATCTACAATCTAATGGTATTTGCCAAGCGGCAATCAAAACTAAAATTTGACAGTCATTATAAAAAGTACAATGAGATGTCTATGGTATTTTTGTCGTCGTACAATCTTAAGCCTATGGTATCTTTGTTCTTTATAATTAAATATTGGGTAAACTGAATGCGTTTGACCATGTTTTATTCTATTTAAAGTGTTCTTGAGTGCTGGTATTTTATTTTAACCATCTCAATTTTCATCAGAATTTAGGGAAAAGTGTGACCTAATTGTAGGCAAACCCAAACCGGGTTTCGGCAGTAGCAACGATGGAAAGTAATGGAAACACCGCCTGACGTTTTTTCCAAAATCCAGAGATGTCAGCACTAATAACTAAATAGACAGATTTGATCAAATAAAACACATTATTTTAATTATTATACCAAGTGCATTTCATATAGATGCTGGAAAGTACAGGGTATTTACACATGATGCTGCCATGCCATCTACTCTGCATAAGTATTTGATTCATGAACCAAAAATTATATCCTTTGTACTTTTCCCTATCGGATAATTACTTTCCGACAACTTTCCGTTCGCCATCGGTATCATGCTATACTTAAGAAAGACGGCTTTTTTGTAAGAAATATTTAATGTGTTATTTTTAAACAATAAAAAGGATGTTAATTACCAGAATTCTTCTTTTCTGTTAATACATATGTCTATGAGAACACTTGGTCCACTTTAGAACGCCTCACAGCTTTACTTAATTTGATGATAGTAATTTTTATTTTTTATTTTTAGGGATAACAACAGCTGCAATTCTTAATTAGGTATTAAACTATGCGTAGCCAATAAAAGTTATCCACTGTAGATACATAGAGTGTATGAATATGCTAATAACAATATATAATATTAAAACTGATTGGCAAACCTTGAAAAGATAGGTGTATCGATGTAAAATATGAAATATAATAAATAACACATACAAATATATAAATATGAGAGAAAAATTAAATTGAATAAACACAAGAAACTTTTTAACATTTAAAAACCTATAAAACCAGCTAATAAGGATCTCCCGCTCCAGTGTGCGACGTAGGTTTATGTGGATCGGATTAATCGAAAAAACGGGCTGATTAGGATGTCGATGTATCATCAATTCAATTTTTTGTGTAATAAAACCCACGTATTTCCATCGCACTTGACACTGGCAGAATTGTCGACATCGGCACAGTTTGCCATTTATGAAGAAGAAGAAGGATGTCGATGTCAAGAATGTCAATTGTCAACTGTCAATGTCACAAATCAACATTTTAAAGTCAACATAAATGTAAATATTATTTCCTTACAAGTCTTGTGTATATTTCTCTATTAAATTGTAGATAATATCTACATTTTACCGTTGCTTCTTTTAATTTACTTGTTTCTAAATATTAAAACTTAATAGATACTTACAAAAATAATGGCTCAAAGAACTCTAACCTTCGTGACTGGCAATGCCAAAAAACTTGAGGAGGTGAGGGCTATTCTTGGCAGTAACTTCCCTTTAGAGTTAATCAGCCACAAGTTGGACTTACCAGAGCTTCAAGGAGAAATGAACGAAGTGTCTCTAAAAAAGTGCCAAGAAGCTGCTCGCCGTTTGAATAAACCAGTACTAGTCGAAGATACATGTTTATGTTTCAACGCATTAAAAGGTCTACCAGGGCCTTATATCAAATGGTTTTTAGAAAAGTTAGAACCAGAAGGGCTTACAAAGCTATTGGCAGGATGGGAAGATAAATCTGCTCAAGCTGTTTGTACTTTTGCATATTGTGCTGCAAATAATGAAGATTGCAATGTCATTTTGTTTCAAGGTATAACTCATGGAAAAATCGTAGAACCAAGAGGTACAAGGGATTTTGGATGGGACTGTGTTTTTCAACCTGATGGCTACAATCAAACATATGCTGAATTACCAAAGTCTGAAAAGAATAAGATATCTCATCGATATAGAGCATTAGAAAAATGCAAGGAGTATTTTGTTAAACATTTTGCTGATGATACAAATGTGATACAAAAGTAGTGATTAAGAACTTATTTCAATTGTTATTGTAGGTGTTGTGAATAAATGAGCAATCTGATTTGCTAGTTGTAGTAGAAAAAATATGTTTATACTAGCCTTGTCTGACAGTTCCTTCCTCCTCAAACTCAAACTATCTTTATTTCATAAAAAAATAAAAAATGTTTGAAATTGTCTTTTATGTAGACTCTAAAGTCATATAAATCTACACACACAATAGCAAAAAACTCTTTTTTATCGAATAGTAAGCCAAATAAATTTAATAAAAATTAAACATATACAAAATCTATAATATGCCTGTGCTGATCTACAACCACCCGTTTCCAAGGGGTTGAGTCTTATGAGAAAAAAGGGTAAAAAACTCATGATATGTCACTAATAAAATCTATTGATTAACAGGCACTGTAATGCAAATATTGTCAGAAATCAGGTTAATATTATCTGACTTCAACATTATGTATAAGAGGTTAAGAAATTTTTAAAGAACTATAACATTGACCCGCATATGATTTAAGAGAAAATCAAATCTAATTGCCAAAGGTTTAGAATAATTTGCAACTTTGTAGAAATGAGTTAAATGTTAACTATGTTTTTTATTTCTGAATTAATATGCTATGAATGGAAAAAGTTGAGATTTGTACCATTTACTAAAGTCTGATTATTTATTTTATAATGTCCAAATATTGATGATTGAAACTATGATGAGGATTGTGGTTAAGAGAAATTCCACAAAAATATATTTGATTTTTTACATTTGGCAATAACAGTAACCAAATGTAAAAAAATATGTTGTAATAATGGCTTGTCATAACATAACATTTATTTTTATTTTTATTTATTTATTATTAATGGACCCATTGTGCTATAATATAATTATGTATATTTTAAAAAAGTTCAAAAATATATATTTAAAAAGCTATTAAACTAATATGAAAATAAAGAAAGCAGTTATGTTAAAATAAAATTGACCTGAACCTAATTTAAATATTTTATTTAATGTGATATCACCAATTCTGTGTATTTACAATTACATAATGTGTTATAGGACAGCATCTTAATTTTAAATACACATTTGCTTAAGTTACTCTAGTCTATATAATAATTAATAATGTTACACTTATAAGAAACATATTGTAGTCAATTCCATTACCACCATTTTTCGATTTATGTACTCCTGGTGCCACATAGGGTTTTAAATTAGAATTATTATAATTTTTATAATACCAATCATTATTGTCATCCACTTGCCTTGTCTTAGTGTTACTTGTTGTCATAATATCTTGAAATCTTGTCTTTGGTTCTCTATTTGCAGAATAATTATGATCAATTTGCTCTAAATGTGGTAAATTCACTTTTGTAATTGTGGCAGGTCTTTTACTATGATTTCTTTCAATCAGCTCTGCATTGCTTGGCACCAGTATTGCTGATAATGCTGTTGGAGGAGGCTGCTCAATATGCTTCTTCATAGGTGGCTTAGACATCACTGAAGTAGATGAGAAATAGCCAGAGGTACTGCTTTCCATCCAAGCTTGCAAAGACATGTCATTACTTGTGTCAGTTGTAATAAGCATACTACTATCTCTTTCGGTCACTTGAGATATTGTCAAATTAGATTCCATTAAATTATATTTGCTCATATTGTTTGGATCAGTTTTCTGCTCTTCTATATTCTTAGTTCTATTATATGCCACATGGGTGCCATTATCATCATCTAAATAAGCTTGCAATTCGTGAATTTCACTTTTGATTTTTTTATGTGTAGTATTAGTTTGAATTGTCTTAATAGGTGGTTTTGTTGACATTATCGCTATTGTTTGCTTTATATTAGCCTCTTTGTTATAATTTTTACTACTGTCGGGTTTAATATTAGTCTTTGAAACATTCAATGAAGGGTCTGATATTGGCATGAAACCTCCATCAGTTGTTGGTAAAATTGGAGAGAAGCCACCAGTTTCAAATTTTGGAACTTCTGTTATTTCATACTTTCTGTTACTATGTGTATTTGAACTATGTGTCTTCTTTTCTGACCAGTCCATTTTTCGTCCAGAATTTAGCAACTTGCCCACATCGATAGGTGGTATTGGCATACCGAAAAATGTAAAACCAGTGTCTGGTTTCGAAGGTGGAGTTGGTGAAGTTTTCTGTGTAGAATTTTTCATTTCAGCATAAATTGTAGGGACTCTTCCCGTAGTTCTGTTATGATTGTGACTTTGAGACGCGCTTATTTGATTGTTCAAACTCTCTATTAACGTTTCGTTATAAGGGTAGTCAACATAGTCATCATAAAAGTATTCTGACTCTTCTGGTAATGGTCTATTTACCTTATTAACTTGATAATTGTTTTTAATTTGCGATGCATAGTCTTTTACCTTGTCTAATGTAGAGAAAACTTGCGAGGTTGCTAAATTTGGCAATAAAGCTTCATTTTCATGTGTCATGCAAGATCTGAGGTCTTCGTTGACTAGATAAGAAGGAGTGTTCTGGCAATCATTCCTACCGAACGGCATACCCTTAACGTATGTGCCATCGGCGCATTTGGGCCCTACAGATGTCGATTCAGATAGCCACGATTTCAGCCAGATGATATGGCAATTACATATTAACGGATTACCTGAAATGAAAATCACACCAGTTTTAAACATATATTATTGACTTTACATTACATGTTATTAATTTCTAATTTTAAAATTATATTTTAATAACTTAGATTAATAGGTTGTGGAACTAGATGGTTTTAATGTACGAGTAGTTTAAGACTTTCAGGATAGATGTTGGTCCACATGTCATGTTCAAAGGCTTTAAGGTATCGCTAATATCGCTAATAGGTAATAAAATAGATACTGACAAATATGTATTTAAAAATACTTACATGTATTTTAGTTATTATTTTTAGTCTACTGTTTAGGTTGATAGCATTCTGAATTTTCTACTTACCGTCAATATCCATAATAGCAATGTTATTACGTAGTTTTGAAAACGTTGCTTCTGAAATAATAGTCAGTCTATTGTGTCTTAATGAAAGAACTTTCAATCTTGGCATGAAGTCAAACGGCTGTCCACTGATATGGCAGATCAAGTTGTTGTCCAAATTGAGCTCAACCAACCATTCCATATATTGAAATGAGGCCCTCGTCAATTTCACTAGCTTATTGAAACTTAAGTCTAAAACCTCCAACGAAGATAGTTGCCTTAAACCAGTGTTATCAATGTTCGTGATATGATTATTGCTTAAATTCAAATACTGCACCAATGGTATGTTGTCAAAGGCTCTCATAGATATGTATTGCAGTCGATTCCCTTGTAATTCAATTATTCTTAGTTTTGGCAGATTTGAAAGTACTTTATCGGGTAAGTCTATGATATGATTTCTACTCAAATATAAAGATACAAGATTAGGAAGGTTCGCTATTGCTTTCGGGTGCACAACTTCAATATTATTACTGTCTAAATCAATAGTTTGAAGATCTCTGAGATCTGTAAAACTTCCTGTTCGCAAATCTACAAGTTTATTGTAGGGCATTTTGAAATCTTTCAAAGAATTTAAGCTATTTAAGGTATTACCGTCAAAGTGTTTTATATGATTAAAGCTGGCGTCTATTACTTTCAATTTAGACAATATATTAAGTCTTGACGGCAATTCGATCAAATTATTTGAAGATATATTTAGTGTTTCTACTTCCAAAGCACGATTTACCATGGCCGGATTAATACTTTTTAATTTATTTTTGCTGAAATCTAATGACGATAGCGCAGCGTTGTCCTGAATAGCAATGAAGTCAAAGTTATCTATAGTGTTCCCATGTAAGTTAACCTGTTTCAGGTTAACAAGCTTGCTAAAACTCTTCTGATGGACAGTTAAGATCTGATTATAGCTTAAATCTAAAATTTCTAACCGATCTAAATCATTGAATGTCATAACGTCAATTTGTCTCAATCCATTACGTTTCATATGTAAGCGTCGCAAGTTATGCAACGTCTTTAAACTGCCATTTGGTATCTTCTGAATGCCGTTACTGGAAATATCTAAAGTTCTTAGAGATGGTAAATCTAAATCTGGTGATGGAGGCGTTGGTAAGCTAGTAATCTGGTTCTGTTGTAAACATAACTGTTCAAGCCCTCTTGGTAATCCAGGGACAAATTCCACCAGTCTGTTGTAACTGGCATCTAATTCATAAAGATTTACCAAGTTTCTAAAAGTGGCTGGATGTATAGAAACTAAGGCATTCTCTGACACATTAACATATTCCAAGAGTGGAGTTTCCATAAAAGTAATCGGGTCTATCATAGTAAGTTGGTTATTGCTCAAGTTAATTCTTCTTAGCGACGGTAGATTATATAACAATTTTGGTTGTAAACGAGTAAAGTAATTAAAGGACAAATCTAACCCTTTTAGTGCCGGTAAATTCCAATACGGACCTTCATATAAATCTGTCAGAGAATTATTACTTAAGTGCAATTCCCTTAACGCTGGCATGGCGACAAATGCATCTGCCTGTATATACTTAATGCTGTTTTTATTCAAATGTAGTCTTTCTAGACTAGGATGACCTCTCAGTGCTCCTCTAGGAATTTCCTGCAGCAAATTATCACTTATGTCTAAAAATTTCAGTCGGGGTAATGCATCGAGTAGAGCCCGGAACTCAGATATGTGCATGATTTTATTCCCGATTAAAGTAAGTTCCTCTACTCCACTGCTAGACTGCTGCAAAAATGATTCAGGATGTATTTGACTGATTTTATTGTAGTTCAAATCTACAACTTTTAACTTAGGAACTCTATGGAATGCGCCATGATGAATAATATTTATGTTATTATTTGAGAGAAACAACTTTTCAAGCGTTGGTTGATCAACAAAGGCACCTTCGGTAAGTTTGTCTATCAAGTTGTTATTCAAATCTAATTCAGTTAACATTGGTACATCTCTTAGAGCTCTTCCAAACATTGTTGCATCTGAAATTTTGTTGTTACTAAATGATATTTCGCTTAGTGACGGTAGCAAAGCCAACGCTCTAATATGTATATCATTTACACCGCAATGTGTTATTTCTAGTTTTCTTAATTTAGGCAGATTGTAAAAAGCGTTTTCTTTAATTACTCGCAAATTAGGACTTCCCTGAATAAATAGCTTTTCAATATTGGGTAGATTTGCAAATGTATTTTCATTAACAGCATTTAAACTTTCCGACTGTATGTTAATATAACGTATTTTCTGCAGTCCTGAAAAAGAGGGTATCCTTTTCAAATTTTGAGATTGTATCGTTATAGCTTGAAGGTTTTGAAGTTTCATTAGACTTTCTGCTGGGAGACTCCTTAAATCGTTTTCCACTATAAATATTTCAACTAAATTCAATTCTTGTGTCTCCAACCATGCAGCTGATAATCGCTCCAAGCCGTTATGGCGTAGCATTAGCCGCATTATTTTCATATTTTGGAATGCTTTGCCCGGTAATGATGGGAGATAATTGTTCTCTATAATAAGTTCATCTATAGGCCGTTTGATGACTTCTCCGATTTTCTGAACACCTTTTGATACTTGTGGTAAATCGCTGTGTGTGCACCTGGAATATAAAAGATTAAGAGCAGTAATGTATGAAGTTAGGTAGCTCGGCAAGAAATAGTAAATCTCAATAGTAGTAGTATTTTGATTTACTCTGTCTTATTTATTTATTCCGCATCGGCACAGACTGAGTAATTTCATACAAACGCTTGTGATTGTAAAAGTCTTTCTTTGATTTCTTGGTTGGGAAATTGTTATTAAAATACTCTTGTCTGAAACAAGTTAAAGTAACAAAACGAAGGAGCCCAGTTGACTTTTTCGTGTTTATATAGACGATATAATAATATTTGATTACCATATTTGTATATCTTCGTGTCGATTTGTGCATATGCAAGGAAGTATTGCCTCTGGAGCAGGACATATTGATGATTGTCCAATCACAGAAGAAAACAGGAGAAGGAGGAGCCATGCCACTATTTCTCCTGTCTTTGAGTCCATTCCTTCACGTTTATGATGATCATTGTAGCATTGTACTTGTCGAGCGCATTCTCTTTATCTGAAAATGATATTTGATTCAGAAAAATTTCATACAGGAGAAAATAATCTGTGGTTCTTTCTGGTGAGGAGGGCTGGGGCGCAGTGGTCTCTTTCTGTGAAGCTGTAATGCTCCAGAAAGAGACCGCTGAACGGGATCGGGAGAGGGCCGATCCCGAACGTAGAAGACGTCGGCGGCGATATCAGCCGTCGACGGGGCCGCGGGCCGCCAGAGAGTGGGGACCTCTGGTGGCAGATTGATTGCTGGGGTAGGGAATGGAATGGCCGGCCTGATTGCATTAGGATGCGATCGGGCCGCCATGCCGCGATTGAAGGGGGAAGTGTTCTCCCCTGGGATAGGGCCTGATTAGGCATGGTGTCAATTCGGGGAGGACCTGAAATAACATGGTCCGGGTCCTCCCCAGAGTAGGACACCTAAGGCCGGCCGTCGGGGTGGTTTTTAGTGGAATCACCACATACTCCTGGCTCCTGGGTCCCCGAGGAGCCGGAGATCCGAAGGGATTTTCCACCCCGTCAACAAAAAAAAAAAAAAAAAAAAAAGTCCTTCTCGACCCAGGATGTTTTAACAATATATAAGAATATTTTAACATTATACTACGACCCTTAATAAGTTATATATAAATTAAGTAGAAGTTGCTTCAAGAAAGCGTTAGTGTCCTAAATAGGTATCCGTTTTATTTAGTAACCAACAAAGAATAATGTAAGTAGGTACCTAACAACTATTGTTTTAGTACGTTTTCTTTGAACATAGCACTATATTGCTTAACCTTCTAGACAAACGAAAAATCGTAATCCGGTAACGTCAAGGACCGGTTCTAATGAAAACAATGTGTTAGAAAAACAATAGTCCATGCACAACGGTCCGGTGGTTAAGGTGCACTTTCACTATACGCTATTGTTACTAACGGCAATCTATGTTAAGTACTCATTTACGTCATTGTTAAAGATTACGCAACCAATTGGTAGAATTTGATGTAGGTCACTGTTCTTTCGATTTTATACGACCTCTACTATGTACGGATTACTAAGTATTTTAAATTAAAAAGCTCTTTTGAGAACTTAACTCATTAGTCACTTGTATCAACATTTTGCACTAATGGTAATAGTCTCTTACTATGAATATCATACTATTAAATCATTCAGTTATTCGGATCACAATGTAATCCATTTACAGGCATCGATTCAGGCAACCACAAGGTTTTATGTTTAGAATAATAATTTTTAGATTAAAAAAAACCATTGCGATCATAGCTGCGATACTAAATAGAAAATAAAACTTTTGGATTAAGTATTAAAGGGACATAAATTAACCTTGGAATGGTACTATAACCTTTACATAAAAGAAATATTTACTTATTATAAAAGTTTGACGTATCCTTCGATCAAATGAACTATTCATCGAAGGACGTATCTATATACATATTTTTCTTTGTAAATACTTTTATGTTTAGGTATTCATTATTACATTAAGTAAATAAACATTACAATTTGTTTGTAACAAATATCAGTTTTTTTTTACAAATTAATAAACTTTCTCTGAATCAACATACTTTTGTCACGTAAGCCTATACTGGTTTGTAATGTATTAGTAATTAGTTAGGTAAGTGTAATATCTTATCTATAATAAGTTCTCAACTTTTTCAACAAAACACAATCTTCATACAATTCATTCTTTTTTTTTCTGTGCGGATACCACTTACCGATGGCAATGTCAGACTCGAACCGACTAAAACCGCACGCCGTCTCAGGTACCAGTAGTCGGGGAACCAGGTGTACCTTAGAAAGGAAATCCCTGGTGCCCCGACGTCCTCGGGCTATCTACGGCGGGTAGACGACCCTCCCTGTGTGGGAACCCCCATGTTCCCTCTGTGCTCCCGGAAGGACGCGCGCGCCTCGCAACGCGCTCGCCGCCACCCCTGCCTGCTTCTGCTAGGGTGACAGATTGCCTCACGATCCTCTCCCGGTCCCGCTCCGCCATCTCCTTCGCAAGCATAACTTGCTCGCAGAAGGAGACGGCAGAGTTCCACGCACTCTCGCTCCGCACGATAGCCGCAATCCGACCATCGCAGTGGTGGCACTCAGGCGTTGACTCCTTGCGGATCAGACACAGGTGATCCCCGAAACATCCTTTCTCAGCGATCACCTGCGTCAGTCGGTATGAGAGGGTCCCGTGATGCCTCTCGAGCCAATCCTCCATAACGGGTCTTACTGCCGCGATGACGGCGTGCCCGGCGCTCGGTTGCCCAAGTCGTTCCTTCCACTCCCCTACGAGGACCCGGCGGAGTTCGGATTTCCGGTAATCGACTTCTCGAGTCTCAGGACTCCGACCCAACTCCCGCGCCTCCATGCGCTACTGATACAGAGCCGCAAGGGCTTTCGCCTCCAGGTCTCATACAATTCACTCCTGAAACCTAGCTATTCTGTTGTAAGTCATTTTTATTTCAGAACCTTAGACAAAATATAAAGCTGTAGTTTTGCATTGCAATTTCTTAGCCGCTTACCTACCCCAAAACTACGTTTTTTATGTACCTCTGTCTGTTTATAGGTACATATATAAAGGGTTTTCAAAGTAGTTTTTATGCATAGTAATAAAATAAGTCAGCAAACGGGACACCAGTGATTAAGGTACAGTTAGCGCATTTATCTCTAACTGTCGTAGTCATCTAGTGACGTGAGTGCACATTGAGGTAGGTACCTTAGTTATGTTTTTCTACTATATATATAACGGAAAACGGCAACATTCATGATATTTTTTATCTTTAAGTTATATTAATTTGAAAGTTAAAGATTTGGAGTCGTTAATACATTTGACAAACAAATGTCAAATTGTACAATTTAAAAAAGCTATTAGGTAGGTACCTACTTTGCAAAAGCTCAATTGAACTTTAACATAATATTAGATCTAATTACAGACAACTCTAAGTGAGTTGTACATATATATTATAATGAAAAAATGAGCGACATAGCACATTTAACATAAGCATAAATATAATACTGAACATAGATGTCTATACCACCGAGCAGTCTTTCTACATTCAAAGGCGGATTTCCACATACCCCTAGCAGAATTGGGGTGGGTCCTAACACACGAGGGGGCCCATCTATCAGCCGTAGATTGCCCCTTGTTCCACCGGGGTGCCCGGAATTTCCTCTCTAGGTTACACCTGGTTTCACGGCCACTGGTACCCGAGACGGCGTTCTGTTTTAAGTCGGTTCGAGTCCGACATAATCACCCCACTGATCATTCGGTGGGTCGTATCGGAGGAAAAGTCCGTATGAAAAAAAAGGTAAAGACCCACAACTCTAATTATCTAAGAATCCAAACAAGTTTAAGAATATTTAAATTGAAGCAGTTAATTTACAGAGAAGTTATAAGTTCTATTGTAAATTTCATTTTCCAAGTGCACAGTCTCGGTGATGAATCGACTGCAGTTTAAACAGATCAACTAATAACAGTTTTATGTTTTTAAACCATGCATTACCTATGATTAACCTCCACCATACGATCAAAATGATTATTAACGATCCTTATTACGTACGTGACGTATAAAGAAGATCATGCTAAATTACGCATGAAATAATACAATTGGATAGAATTTACATTCACCACATTGAGTGCACGCATGGCGATGTTGTTTAAGCATCAACAACATGGAACAACACAAAGAATACCCAGACTCTTCTGAGTCTTTTTTTCATGAATGTTTGTAAAGAATATATTATTGTTCTACGAGTAATGCGGGAGTTGTCTTTTAAAGAAAGAAACTATAATAATCCAATGTATAAACTTGAGTTACTATAGTCAATGTGTAAAAAAAACTTGTATCTATCGCAACTCTATATTCTAATAGTCTATTACAAAATCTTGTTACCAAAACAAAACCGATTGAAATAGAAAGAAACTAAAATAAAGTTGCCAACTGAATTCTAACACTTATGTAAATATCTTAATTTGTGTCAGCGCTCATTTCATTCTTAAATTAATTATTACGTAAAATGAAATTATGGCAACGGAATGCACAGCCGAGCGGACGCAACGCTACTATCGTAAACGGTCATCTACGGGCCTTTAATTATGATCTATTTGACCATAGTTTGAAGGTGATCCCTGAGACACATGGCTCTGGCCCAAAAATAAATCTGTCGTACCAAATGGAAAAAAGGTTGAATGATTTTTTGGATTTATAGTAAGTACTAGCTGAGACCTGCGGTGTTACCCGCGTTTGTTGTTATAACCGCGCAACGCCGCGGGGCGAAGCTAGTCTAAAAAAAGGTAGCCTAAGTTACTCCTTATGTCATCAGCTGTCTGCCAGTGAAAGTCCCGTCGAAATCGGTCCAGCCGTTCCAGAGATTACCCGGAACAAACAGACAGATAGACAGACAGACAGACAAAAATAGTAAAAAATGATATTTTGGTATATGTACCGTGTAAACATACATATGCATTTAGTAAAAAGCGGTTATTTTAATTTTACAAACAGACACTGTATTTGTATAGATAATTAGATATATTACCTATTGCACACGTAGGCATGGTATAAATGTGAGGATAAAACGAATTGCTTTTAAATGGATTAAAAGTTATTTATCTAATCTTAATCAATGGTAATTAAAAGGATAAACGATTACATATTGCAGATTCAAATATGTACTCGTATAAGTAAACAAACATGATTTCCTCCAAGGTAGCGCATTCATTTCTCTATTACTCTCCATTTATTAGGTAAATAAATGATACATAATAAATTAGAGAATAAAAGCGACCACTAGGCTAGGTAGGATAGTAATCTAAGAACTTTGGTAAAAGTCCTGGAAAACAATAATGAATTGATTTGATTTGTTTCCTTTCATGATCTTATTCAAGGCTTTCTTAAATAATCCGATCAAGCAAAATCTAGAAAATAATAAAAAGTAAAAAAAACTACCGTGCAACAAGAAAGCAC